TTCATTATACAGCTGATTTAGGAGATATGAGTACAAATCCCTTGGAAAAGTGTTTTTGCCCAACCCCAGAAACCTGTTTAACAAAGAACCTGCTAGATCTGACCAAATGCGTAGGTGCTCCACTTATCGCTTCTCTACCACATTTTCTTGGATCAGAAGAAAAATATTGTCAAATGGTTCAGGGACTTCATCCGAACGAGGTAGATGTTGATCTGTTTCTATTTTTAACTCGTTTCTTTGTATCTTTAAGATTTAATTCCTCCTATTTTAGTAACAAATGAATTTTGCTGTTGAACAGAGTTAACATAACAAAAATAACAAAATAAAGAAACCAAAATTTTATATAAAAAAATTTGTAAATACTTTCTTCAGACATTGTAAGTGCAGGAATGTTAGGTTATAGCTGGGTTTTCTCTTAATATGTGAAATCTTATATAAAATATAATGTAATTATATTTTATAAAGAAAAGCAAAGTAGTACAACAGTGATAATTTATTAAATATTAAATGCTCCTTTGAATTCTTAATTTCTCCCTTAAAGAGATTAATGTCCTCCTAACAATAAGATTCAACACATTTTATCTATTTCTATTTTTTATTTACTCAGTGTATGTAGTTATTTATAAAAATCTTGAGTTATAGTGTATGCTCAATTGTTATTATTTGAATACCAAAAAAAAAAAAGAAAAAGGAAAGAAAATAAATAAACCTGTTTTCCTTTCATAGGAAGATCATGGCATTGCTATGGACTTTGAACCAATGACAGCCACTCCTTTAAGCGCGCACAAGAGGCTACAATTTAATATAGCCCTTCATAAGGTGGAAAAATTCAAGTTGATGAAAAACTTCCCAGAGTGTCTGTTTCCAGTATTCTGGGTCGAGGAGGGAATACTACTCGATGACGAGTTTGTGAAAAAACTGAAAACCGTATTCAAAACAATAAGCATAGTCGGGTAAGTAATATCCTCATTTAACTTGATTTACTGCGATAAAATGAATTAATTTATCGTTCACGATTTATTTGGTTTTTGAGGAGTTTAAACCTGTGAAATTTAAGCTTTATAATATATGTAAATTTTATATTTGTATAAAATAACTGATATCAAATATTACTTTTAATCAGTCAATGGCTAAAAAGATTTTAATCTATACATATGAAATTGGATATTTTATATTTAGCCAGCAAAGAATATAAATTTTAATAACTTATAAATGTTTATTAAAAGATTCCTGAAGTGGCTGACAATAATTAGTGGGATTTGCATTAGTGCAGCAGCTGCCGCGATGTTCTTCAAGAATAAAGACAAAGGTTCACTCGATATCACAAAAGTAACACCGCATTCGCAGAACGGAAAAGGTGAAGAACAAAAAAAGTGGCCGAATCAAATGAATATCAGTACGATACAGAGTGCAGCTGTACCGCCTAATCTAGATGCGAATTAAATATTCCGTGACTTTTTTATTTTATTTAATATAATTTTATTTAATATACTTTTAATATGTCCCAGTATTTGGGATAGCGGTTAGAAGGAAAGAATGTTACTGAGTGCGGTATGAAATTAGAAAATACAATTGATAATAGGATTGTGATTCCTGTTTTGTATATGGAGGATGATTCACGTGATATTCTTTTTTTTTCTGTTTCCTTTTTTTCTTTTTCTTTCTTCGTAAGCATCATGAATTAAATTGTAGTCTTTCAGAAAGGCCAGGATTAGATAGTAAATAGTTTTCATAAACACTTATAATATAGAATATCATCATTTACATAAACAAAAAAAGTTGATTTCTTTTATATCTTCGTTTTATAATTACGTCGACTTATGCAAATAAAAAATGAAATTAGTTTGCAAAGAACTACTTTTTTAAATATAATAATGTTTATATATGAAACTTCTATTTAATCTATAAAAATTTTAATTGTATCGTAAATTTGATCTATATGGTACAACAGAACAAAAATGAAACTATGGAGTATCAATTAAACGGATCATCCTTTTAATTCCTTTAAACACACTGTATTTACATAAGATATGCGATGTATTATTAATTGCCTTATATTTTCTTAAGCTGTACCTAAGAAATATTCAAATTTGTATAGTATTGCTCTTAATTACACGAAGTAATGTCAATGAAAATTTATTTCACATCATTGCTTCTTCATTAGAAGTTGTTGCGTTAAATCATGTAGATTACTGTTTACTATTATTTTTTATTTTACTCACATTTTTTGTCATCGTTATATATATAAAGATTTAGTAAATTCCGATTAAGTAATCTTTATCAATTCAATATTCAGTTAAAATTTTATTTTATTTTTTTGCTTATTATTTAAACTGTTTAATTGATAAAAAATTGATATTTTAAAAATAAAGCTCCAATTTTATTACATGTATAAATAATTATCAGCAATACTGTATAATAAATAAATGGTCTGGTAATTGTTTATACAATATTCATATGAAATTTTATAACATAATATAATTAAAGAAAAATTTATCGAATAAAATAAAAATGATATTTACAATATTAAACAAAGTTTTTACCGTGACGATGATATAAATATTTTTGTAAATGTGACAAAAATATTACTAACGAATCTCTATGATGTTAGTATAGAATAATATTAGGAATTACTAGACCATTTTACATAAGTGTACTTATAATAACCCTTTAGGAATACTCTTAATAAGTGTACTTATAGTGATTTAAGATATATTTCACAGAAAATTTAGATCATTTTTATCTATCTTAAGAAAATTCAAACAAACGAAATACATTTCTTCATTTACTATGTACTTAAAAATGGCTCAAGTAAATTTATTGCACTGAATATAGATATAACATGTAGGTCACGAAAGAATAGATACCTGAATGATTTTGTTACATACGTACGTAAATGCAGTGTGAAACGATAACCTTATCAACCAGATATGTCTTTTATTTTATTGAAATACAGATTATACTTCTTAGATAGATCATATTTCAATCAAATATAATAATTTGTCTTTTTTATTTAATTCTGTCAAGAAATTTAATACAAAAGTCATGACTTTAAAATTAGAATTATAAAAGGGAACTATATTTCTTGGAAGGATTGAAAGTGTAAAAATATTTTTAATTTAATTTTGTTAATGATAAAAGTTTTTATTAGTGAAAAACATGAACTGAAATATTTTTAATAAAACTATTTATGTATGAACAAAAATTTGTTATTATACAATATTTTGCATTGAAATTAAATAATTGCTTTTAAAAATTTTTTGCTTTGTAAATTTACAAACATTTCTGGTAGGCAAAGTTATGATTCGACTTGTATAATATTTCTATATATTATAAGTCGCAAACGCTTTGAACATGTAATTTTTGCGGATATATCAGCACATTTGCCTATTTTTGTACAAAAATTATTAGAAATATAAATTCACTCCGTCCATTATTATAAATATTAGAATAGAAATAATTTTTTTATAATTGTTTATTTCGCAATTATTAATACCTCGTTTAATTGTAATTATATATTTATAATTATATTTACTTAAATTTGATAAATAATGCAGTATTAATGTAGCCACGTACAATTTTATAGGTAAATATTTTTAATGATTGTTTTGAAAATCTCCTACAATTCATAACATGATCAGAATTCATACATTTTTATTTTTTAGATTATAAATATTACCAGTTTGCAAATACTGTATTTGATATATGTATATTGTGCGCTGTTCAATTGTTTCTTATTATTTATCGTTAAATGTTATAATATTTTAAACTATAATTAAAATGTAAATTAAATCGTAAGAATAAATAATATTTTCTAACGAAATATATTATTTTAGTACTACTTTTCATTTATTAAATATGAGTAAATAATATAAAGGGTTCAAATTAATTAAAATTTTAAACTTAGTTACGGAAATTATTCATATTGTTGAAATATAAATCCGGAAAAATAAAAAAGAAGAAAACTGATACATTAGACATTACCACATTATCTCACAGTATAGTGATACAAAATAATATAATGCAGTCCAGGATCTTTGGTGTTTTATTCATTTATATGTGTATACATTTTATTGTTTTATAATATTGGAAGGATACTTTATACGTATTACTTTTGTAAATATTTAAAAAGGTAACATAATATTATAACGATAAAGAAGCTTAATGTATTTAACTTTCTTAATTATCTTAAGTTTCTTTTACCATTTACATTTAACATATAAGCAATATTTACTACGGAAATAAAATTTAAAGTATTTACAGAATTATTATATAATAATATGACTTAATTTTATATGCTAAATTCCCTTTATAAAAAATTATGAAGTCATATGGCGATACATCGATGCATCATTTCGGTAATAACTATATATCTAAATAGATTCAATACATATACTGACCTATCTACTATACTATCACTATACTATTTTATCATTTTCTGTAGAATAACACGCATTTAATAAATGACGGGATTAGAAAGTCAAAAATTAAGTACATATTAATAATAATACACGCTACAGTAAATATATACAGTAGCGAATATTTCATGAGTTTCATTGTTTTACTGAAAATGTTAAACTATAAATTTTAGTATACTAAATGTTAATATCAAACTTATATTAGGTTTTGATAGCATATTCATTAATAAAACGTAGTCGTTGAGCATACCTAATTTTATAATACTAAAAAGTATAAAATTTCAAATTCATATAGACAAAAATAATTTCTTTTTGAACTTAAATAATTGTTCTAATTAAACAACAAATAATATCCTTTTATCAAGTATTTATCTCGAATAATATTTTACTATATTGTTTTAGAAATTAATGATTAAAACTTTTCTTTAATTGTCAATTAATATAATCAATACTTATATGACATTTATATAAATATACAAAATTATAAAGTATCTAGAAGTCGCTTTATTTTTGTTCACTTTAACTTTCCTTTAACTTTAATCCTACGAAACCTAATATTTCAAGCAGAGAATTAAAAAGTCTTCATTCCGGTAGTTTTCTTACTGTATTGTTCACTCCAGAATCGTTTCTACAAAGCAACAAGTTCTTATAAGCACTTCTGTACTCTGAACTCATCACCACATATACCACAGGGTTTATACAAGTAGTTAAATAAATTAAGATGTATCCCGCGATATTCAGGCCCCTCCAATCAATGGCATCCTTGAAAGTCTTTGTAACTGTGATTGGTAAGTAACAAATAAGAAACGATGAAAATATCACCAGAATCATTTTCAGTAGCTTTTTATCCTTATTACTCATCCTTGGTGGGCTATCCTGATTCCTACACTTTCTAACGTGCTTAATCTTCGATTCTCTACGAACTACAGTGGGCTTTCTTTTCGTTGATCGATCAGGCGTGTTTGATCTCGAACTATCCAATCGATCGCTACCCGTTGACGTCTTCGAGTTTAATCTTTGTACCCAGAGAGCCGACTCGATGATGAACGAAGCTCGGCTGGCCATTCTCTCCAGCTTATTTCGAGCATTCGCGGAAGCTTTGTCGGTCGATTCTTTGATCTTAATCCGGTCGTTTGAGAAAACGGTTTCCGCCGTATCTAGATCATCCACATACGGTATATCGTCTATTTTTATTTCTAAACTGGGCCTCTCTTTATCGCAGATTTCGACGATTCTTTGAATCGATATTTCGTGATCGGATTGGTTAATATGTTTTTTGTCGTACTTCTTCCAATTTTTTGTCTTTATCCGTTGCATTTTTTCTTTATCTTCATCATATTCTTCATCCTCTTCTTCTTCCTTTGCTGAGCTTTGTTCCGACGAAGATTGCTCCGATAGTGATTCGTCGATCGCCGATCTTGACGGCGTACATGAGCACTTGAAATAATTTGGTGGGGTTATGGTGCGTCTCGAGGAAAAGTTTGCACATAAAACACTTGGTGCACAGCTGGAGCCCAAGACTGATAATTCTTCTTCTTGATTGTTGGGTGATATAGATCGTCTCTGGAATAAAGTACAGGTTATTATTATGCCACTTTGCTTGATCATAAACGATGCCCAGATGGATTCATCTTACATTTTAAAGTGATAAAAACTTTCTTTTTTTAATTTTTCTTCTAGTTTTATTTTTATTCAAAATTTTATGTTCACAGTAATTTGAAATACGCGCCTTTATTCAAGAAATGTGTGGGCTGGTTAAAAAGAGATGTGATTGGACGCGTGAAAGAACACAAGTGATTGGCCGATAAGAAGTGCTTGTGAAAAGAAACTGCAGTCGTAGTATAAAAGTGTAAGAGAGGAGGAGTAAAATGAAAGCAACTGGTGTAGATAGCAAGAGAATAGCAAGAGACAAGTGTAAAAAGAAAGCGCGAAGAAAAGCTTTATTGGACTTGAGTTGGAGAATATAGACTTGTTTATTTTTCTTCTTCTACTGTGTACACTTACATCATGAATGGCTTCAATAGCGTCAGTAGTAGCATTTGCGTTGCGTTTTCTACTTTTAGAGGTTGTTCTCCGAACGATATAAAAAATTCTTGCATAGCAAACAACGATTGCGATGCAAGGTATTAAAAAGGCTACGACAAAAAGGAATTCCTTTGGACTTCTATTATGTACGTCTGGAAGGATCGAACAAGAACCAATCGCAACATCTAGTCCAAAACGACCCCAATTTCCAAACCACGTAACAATGAGAACACCAAAAGCGATGATCCACGTACTCAAAATCATTGGTATTAAGTATTTTGATTTGTATAGCCTGAAAATAAAAAATATCGTTATAAAGTTTGATGAGAATTAAATTTTATATGAACCTGTACAAACGTTTCTTTAGATCGTATCTATCGGTTCCCAAACGTATATAACTTTTTTTAAATAGTAAATTTGCAAATAAAAATCATATTATTTTTTATTTTTACAATTCATTTTACTCTAAAGTAGTTTAATGTGAAATATTTAGGTTACTTACCTAGGATAAAGTCTGGGATGTCCTATCATAACATAACGGTTAATTGTAATCGCCAGTATCGTGAAAAGGCTGACTGCTACCAAGCCATATCTTAATAAAGGAAACAGCCGACATAGAAGTGCTCCATGATGCCAAGAACTATGCCAGAAGGTTGATGTAGCAAGTGGAAGATTGAAGCAACAGAACAATAAATCTGACACCGAGAGATTCATAATAAAGATTGCAGTGGCGTTTCTTATCTGAAAGTAAGAATGAAATAATAAATTAGTTATTTCTAATTTTCGATGTGTCCAATTGTAACCATTTATATATACACATATGAAAGTATCTGGTATCTGCTATCTTATTATTAAAAAACTTCATACTGTCAAATCTAATTGTGAAAATGGCATTACAAAATTATTCTAATGAAATTTGATTGAAGAAATCTATTCAATATTTTATTAAAATAGCTTTCAATTCAAGTAATATTCAACCTTGCTGTAAAAATAAAATTATGGCATGTTTGGATTAATTTGTACTATCGACATTTTAGCAATTAATTTTGTTTCATAAAAATCAGTAATTTTATTTCGTGAAAGAATAGCTTAATGAAAATTTAATCTAAAATATAAAAATTCAATTTCCTATTTGTAGATTACATCACTGCTCATTATAACAGTTGCGTGAAACTGAATACAGATACGCCAATTTGGTTGCCTAATATCAGGCAACGTTTATAGCGTTTCTCATAGTGTATACTACGTATAACACTTCGAAAGAAAATATAACCATACTAAAAAATTCGTGTATATTATTCTGAATATCCATTATTATCTTGTTCTTAACGGAATATACCACGAATCTTTGTCGAACAAATAATATAATACGAGGAAACTTTACGAAGACGAAAATCGACACAGATGGAGCTAACGTCGTAATAAAGCAAAGGTTAAAAGAATTTTCGTGAGAAGTAACAGCGAAATTGAAATTTCGCCTCGGTAAGCAAATTTTACCGTCAGGCAATGAAATACTAGAGCATTATATTTCTTCCTGGTTTAATTCTAGTTCATCGATTGCATCAACTGTCGGAATTGGCACAGGCAGGATTCGCGGAACCACCGGAACTTGGGAAAGCACAGTTCCGTGGTGTGTACACGATTTATGTACGCGATCGTTTTCAAACTTAAATTCTTAACAATGGATGCCGATCGGAAATCTCGTTTCATAAACTATGCCGACGACCTGCCGATCATTGCCTCGTATCATTATTCTTATTGCTCACAGAGGAAAAATACGACATGGATGATTAGGGAAATAAGAAGAATTACAAGTAACAGGTGAGGATAATCTAAATGAATGCAGAAAAGACAAAATAAAGGAAAATAACGAAAAAATTCTCGGAGTAAAGTATATTATGAAAAATGAATAATAGTGGAAAAAGAGGTTAGGTAAATGTTTCATTAAAATATGATTATGAGTAGAGATTTGTTACTGAGAGAAGATTTGGAAACAGTATGAGTTTTGTAGGTTAGACTGGGAGAGAAAAGAGTCATGTTTCTCTTATGATGATGATAAATGATAATTTATAATTTCATTTATGTAATCTGAATTTAAATGATGAAGTGTGATAAAATGATCCTGCGTTTACTAATTTTGATAATGATAAGAAAATAAGTATGGACGAAGATATTTTTCATAAAAAAATGTAGATATTGTAACTGAAATTTGCTATTTAAGGTTAAAAATGAAAAAATTTCAAGGTTAGTCGAGGATATACACATGATACATATGGATGGATTTGTCTTTTGTCAACTATAATGTAGTAGTAACAAAAATATTATTTCGTCTTGGAAAAACATTGATCATGAAATCACGAAAATCATAAACTTAATCTTTGAATAAAGTATTTGTTACCATTTATTATTGAAAACAGCATAATAAAATTTGTATTACTTTATGAATCTCGATTTTAATTTTAAATTCTTATTATCTCATTTTAACCATTATTTCGAAAAGAAAATTTTTGTTGTGCTACTATTTGCCTCTTCGTGATAAATATTTTCTACCTTAAACTTTTCTTCATATGATTATAGGTAAGGAAGGAAAATAATAAAAATAGGCATTTATTTTGGTGTTATCCAGATTAGAAAACCCATTCCCAGCGTGATTTTACGCATTCTAAGGAATAGAAAATTAGTGGCCATTTATCTATAAGCTGACTCATTCTTTACGTGGATGAAGTGACCATTCACTTACATAGGCGTAGGATATTAAAGAAAATTATATTTTCCAAGAAAAAGGAAGAAGTGTTTAACCAAAATATGTTCAAGAAGCAATATAATTAACGTAAAATGTAATTTTGCCCATCTCCTGGTAATAATTTATGAGCTTTATGTATTTAACTGTAGTAAATAGCATAGTAGAATTGCAATAATAATTTTTTCAAACTTATCCAGTTATACTCATCACATAAAATACCCATTAAAACACTGTTTAACAAAAAAAATAAACCATAGGAAGAAATGAGATTTTGTTACTAACATTACAAGGTTCTACTGTGCATTTGTTTATAATTCTAATTACGTAATACCTAGTTGTCAACAATTTAGTACAAAAGAAAAAGGAAAAGGATTTGTGAAAATGGAAAATCCATAAAACACGAGGGCTCTGTCTAAAGATTCGTTTCCATGTAGCAATATATTCAAACGTTTTCTAAAAACATGTTTAATTGTCGTTACAAGAACGATAACACGCATAATCTGAGGCCTTTGCACATACTGTAAATCCAGAGAACTCAAAGAAAGGAAAACGTTTATATGCGTGGCGAGAAGTTATCATGGCGTCTTATTTATCTATTACAGATAAATATCCGTATGTTTGTAAATTATACGTACATCCTGCGAATGCCCATAAATTCTATAATTTCCATCCCTGCCAAAAACATTGCGTTCCATAAACGTTCATAAATTTTGTGCTACGTATTGAGTTTCTCACAATTCGCGGACTTCCTGTAAACTTCGTAATTTTATTTTCATTGAAGCACAAAAAGTAAAACGAGGAATTACCATTCAATTACAAAATGTAAATTTTAGGTTTTCAAATTTGTTATAAATTGTAACATATATATCTATAATGATAGATATATCATTAAAAAGAGAAGAAGATATCTTATTTTGTTGCTATGATATTAAACTTCTAGCTTTACCACATTTGGATTTTAAAATAATAAAGAACAACGATTGGTCAAATGGTCACTTTTTCTATGAATTTACAAATTAAATTTGCATTTCAACAAACTTTTGACATTTGATTATTTTTTTAGACTAATTATCTTTTTATCAATATTACTATAGTTTATCCTTTATAACATTATTATACTATTATTAACATCAATTATTTAATGTAATATAGATATGTTAATAATATTATGTAATATTGATTAATGAGTATTAAGGAAAGATTAATAATGATTATATAATAAATATTAAGCGTTTAACAATGAAGCAAAATATCCGAATTTTATGCACAGTATTATCTCAGAAATGTGTTATAGAACAATTTACAACAAATTTGGAAAACATACATAATCATTTCCTGCTATAAATCATTAATATATCTTAAAGTATGATATGTCTCGTGTGAATTTATAATTCATTCACACCAGTTTATAGTAACATTTCATCTCACTTTTACTTCACTATTGTTTCAAATAAGATTCGAGGTGAACCACTTATTAAGTTGGTCTAAGACTGAATACCTCCAAGCAGAGCATACTAGAAATTCGAGCAACCACGACACGTAATGTGCTTGGTCGTAAGAAGTTCGTCATTCAGAATTTTTATCATTGTCATTCCCATGTGTGTCAGTGTTTCATCCTATGAAATTTTGTCTACCTATAAAACGAAAGGCTGTTAAAATACTGTCAAAAATATTTTTCTATCTACCAATGGAATTACCAATACAGTAACTATACAAAACTTGATACGATCACCGTGGCACACCCATGCTCTTCTTTATCTTCTTGTTATAATTCGGGAAAATTGGCGATTTTTAGATAGGTATCTAGAAAACTTCATATAAAATAAAGCATGGTAATTATAAAGAGTGTCCCAAAATTCACGCAAGATTTGAATTTTGCGCCAGTTGTGAAGTAAAATATTGTCAACGAAAAATCAAAAATAGCGTGACAGCTGACAGTTTATGGTTATTAAAATTGGAGCGTTATACGAAAGAACAACGTATCTTCATTTTTAAGCAATATTTAAATAATAATGAAGATTTGTTTGTTTTCTATTAAAATTACTGCTTGCGTGAATTTTGAGACACCCTTTATGATTAACATTAACATTGCCTATCTAAAAATCATTCCAAATGGTGTAAGTTTATTCTAAATTATGAAATATTCTTCAAAAAAATATATTAAAAATATAAAAGATTCTCGATAACTTCTAAAATATGCGTTATTTTATTATCAGATATAAAAAGTATTTTTGTGTTAATTATTATTAATATTTGAAATAAATCCAAGGAATTTTTCTTTTTCTCACAGATACTAATAATCGACTTGCCTCGCCTTAATTTGACTAAGAAAGAGGTATGATATGACATGTTAGTTAACAGCTTTTGATATATCAACGTAAAATAAACCCTGGCAGAGACAGAAGATAAGAGTAGTTAAACCATAAAGGTATGTTATATGTAGTTATATACATAAATAACATATGTTACATGATTAATATATTATTATCATTATATAATTATAATATGTATTATATATATTATTATAATAATATATCAATGTTATACAATAATACATATAATAACAGAATATTGTACAACAAATGTATTAATATTATTATTAATATTATGTATAATAACCCTTTACTGTCCTTTCTGTTTCATTCGATTCTTCTCAACTTTGATATACAGGGTGGATCTGAACACACACTTGGATCGTATTCGTTTTTAATAAGTTGTTTTTTCCTGTTCTTAGTAACACAGTTAACTCAACAAAGATCAAGTGTCATTGTCTGCTCGTTATTCTTCCACATCCTACCATTCACGACAAAATAACTTTTTATTGTTCCTCCAACGACTAAACAATTGAAGATAATCAAGTTGATCACGTTGCATGGTTCACCCTATATAAAAACATGGCTCTTTATCTTCTAATTTACTTCGACAAAAATTGATTAGAAAAGTTCGAAAGAAAGCATCAAATTTTAAGTACCATTTCCAAGTAGGTTCTTGCAAAGTACTATGAACCAATTAGGACGAAGCGTTGAATGTGATTTGGACAGCAAGAGATATGTTAAATCGTATTAATATATTAGTAGTAAGATTGAGATTGAAACGAAGATTAATTATTATTAGGATCATGATTAATACTGATTATACACGTATGAGTGATATAAATGTACGTAACTTGTATTCTAACCTTTCTAGTGCGGAAAAGGGCGATGATGGTGAGCAGATTTCCCGGAATGCCAATGAGCATGAACAGTATGCAGCAGGCGGCAGCGAAGTGTAGTAGCCATCGCGGATATCCGACGAAGAGGACCGCCGATCCTGGATCCCTGAGGACCTCCTGGATTGTCTCCTCTCTACCATTGTGACCGGTCCCGTTGCTCGCCATCCAATACTCCATCTGCGGACAGCATGGTAGACAGGTGTCGTTTTGCACAGGAGCGTAAAAACTGGAGACTTAGAGCGCATATGACGGGCGAAAATAAAATTTTTTACGAATTAAAAGAACGACTTGTTGAATGTGTTAAAAAACTGTGATGTTAAGTTTGAATATAATTATTTGTTTTTGATGGTACAATATTATATCAGACTGTTGGTAAATTTGTATCACTTAAAGTATTTTATGTTGCATTTATTTCATTTAGTAATAATTTGCGTGTAAATCAATTTTCCGTAATGTTGTTTGATATTTCTGATATTTGTTTATAATATAGATTAATTAAGTCTTTTTATACCGTGATGTGAAAAGCATGGTTTGTATGGAAAGGTGGCTAACTCGCCACTTTTGGCTTTCAGAATTAATACGCTTTAAAAATAATATATATTGGAGATAGAAACAGTATTAAAATGTGATTAAAATGGAGAAATGTTTGCTAATATATGTCGATAACAAATAAAAAATAGCAATTCATATAATAATTGTAATTAGTTAATAAATATTTGATCGAATTTATGTTAATACAATTTTGAAAACATATGAAATTTGAAACGTGTATATGTATAAGTAGATATATGAAGAATATCCTAGAAAGAAACTTACTTTTATGAAAATATATAAATGTATAATTATTATTAAATTACTATTGCTATTAGTGATTACTTTTAACGACTCTCAGTATGAATTGTATATCTATATTTGTCATACCTTTTTCTTATATTAATTAACAGAAAAAAAGATTAAAATAATATATAATTTTCTTCTTCATTTATTCATCACTTTTTCTCCATTGAGTAATTGCAATTCAATTTTCGCAAATTCTTATCGTCCCTTTCCCTATGAATAATATTCTTCAGTTAATGCACGTAGGAATGTCTAATAGCATTTAATTATCGATAGCAATTAATAAAAGCAGAACCGTTCCCATGATAGCGATGAGATCGAATGTACACCGCGTAGAATTCAACACAGGACGTTATTTGCAAAATATGCCTATTTGTTCCTGACATACCAGTTTAATTCGCACATTTTTAACTAGTTTCATTACTCGATTAGATTGTGCTAAACTGACATACGTCTATATTAAGCAGTGACATTCAGATTTTTCTTCCAATAAATTCTTAAATGTCTACTATCTAAATTAAATAAAGATTCAAACTTTTTCATCATTTCTAAATACTTTTTCAATACAGTACCTATTCTTATAGAATATATAAAATTACATTTAAAGAACCCTATAACATATTCAATTTATAATTATTATAGAATATATAAAATTACATTTAAAGAATTCTATAACATATTCAATTTACAATTAGTATAGAATATATAAAATTACAGTTAAAGAATTTCATAACATGTTCAATTTACAAGTAAACTAACTCTACCAAAGTACAACACTTTGTTTAAATTTGAATAAATAAAAGATTTAAAACAAAAAGTAAAAATTGTATAAAAATTTGTGGAATATTGTCCAAAAGGTAGTATGTGTAAATTACATAAGAAATTCAATGTTTGAAATTTATATACTTCTGGTATATTCTTCAACAAACTTTTTCCAATATCTGGATAAGATAAGAAAATTATGGTATCAAGTTATGATATCATTTTACCAACAGTAATGTCTATTCTAGTTTAAAGTTTCCAGGCTATCAGCATTAAGAAGCGGGAGGACGATTTATTCATTTATTTTTTCCCGGTCCATCGACGGTTTTGCTTTCCTTATTTCACACGCATTGAGAAAATGCAACGAGAGCTCTTCTTTTTTCTCCATGCTGGGCGTCGAAGAGGAAGAGAGAGAAATCTATTTTCGCCACTCGAGACGATAAACTCTTTCAACCGAGAGTAAACTTTGCTGGCTGATTCTATCTTCCATCGAATTTGCGTTCTTAAGGGGTCCCAAAGTCCACACGAATATTTTCGAAAATTTTAAACGAACATCGATAGAAAAAATTGTATATGAAACAGTACTTAATCATAGATAACTGATAAATTTAATGTTAAATTTGGTTGATTATAACATTCAAAATAATGAAATTGATAGTTTTCCTAGGACAGTAGAAAATTAATAACTTTCAATAACAAACCATGTAATTTTCTTTAATTTAGTGAAAATTATATTTTTTTATTATTTCTTCATATTGAACAGGTATTTCAAGCTTCTTCTTACTGGAAATCATTTCATTTTGCAATTGTTTGCTTTCTTTAGTTCTGAAATATATTCAACAAAAGCTGTATTTCATATTTTATTCTATTTTTCAATTTTTATTAAAATGCCTTGCCAATTAATTTTCTATTTACCTCGGTATTTCAATTTATAATCTATATGTTAGTTTTTATAGTAACCTTGATAAGATTAAAAATCATAGTATAGTGGAAAATATTAGTATCATGATATGGCAAGACATAGTGTACTATTTTGCATTCATTTTCCAAACAAAAGCATGAGTACTTATATCCTGTAGAATTAGTTTTAACTATTACAGATTTAAGAACAGAATCTACCCCAAATACTTAGCTTCAGTAAATTATCAGGGTGCTGAAATATATATAGAGAATAAGAAGAATGTGGTAAAACTTTATACTTAAATTTATATTGCCTTTATATAATGATTTCTAATATAAAAGCATACGTAATGTTGTTAATATTAGAACCCTATGTACTGCTTCGACGAATTACATTTCTACAAACTGATTGTATTCTACAAACTATAATCTTTCTTGTCATACAAAGATGATTAAAAAGTAATCAATAATTGTCATCCTAAATAAATAAGTAAATAAACGTTCGTAGTGAAACGATTTGCTTTCTACGTATAATAACAAATAAACGAGTTTAATTAAATGATGCAAGTAAAATAGATAATTAAGATTCCCTCTAAATTTTCTTATTGTTTCTTAATGTAAAGTTTATATGCTCATATTTTTATATATTTTCTCTGTTTTCAAAAGTTTTAGAAATACTATGGTAAATATTGCATGTAATGTTGTTTAAGTATTATAGAATGCATATGAGATTACTTAATATAATTAATAAACAAATGCTTGTGAAATTTTGAAACCAGCAAAACGAAGATTACATAAAACATTCATTATTTTCTTTAAATTACCTTCTGAAGTAATTACTATTCTTGTAAATATCCGTTCAAAGAAACGAAATCATGGTATCAAGCCATTTATTTCACTATAACATTAAGTTATTTAAATTACTCATCTTATTCGAAACTCGAAAATCGAAAACTTATGTTTTTTACCTATATGTAGATGTATAATACATTCAATCCTTACTTTTATCAAAACGATAGAAAATTTTAGCCAAAATAAACGAACAAATTCGCGTTTTATCAGATGTTTCAACTATCACGTACTCTTAGTATATACCAGCACAATCCTTCCATTCACATGGATTCTTACCTAGAATCGACAGGAAGAACGCTTACCTTCGTAAGAAGTAGACGCTGTTTGCTCTTTCATTGATGCACATCGTCTAAGGGACCTCATACGAACGCACAGGTTTTAATCGACTCATCTCGATCATGTTTTTGATCTACATCTTCTTCTTCCAGTTTTCATCTTATTAGAATCTTCCACTTAAAACCATTCATTTCGATAAAACGTTCAAACAAAATACGTTATAAATCAAGATCTGCACCTTTGTCAGTTCTTCATTCTTCCTCAATTTCGCACATATCGCTGAATTACATCTATTTTTCACCTTTGGTATCACTTTCTTCACTTTTCACAAAGAAAATCTGGAAAAATATATCGGAAACGTGTGGAAAAACATTCGAAAAACAAAATTACGAATTTAATTAGATAAAACCAATATTGAAGAAATTGATATACCGATTTACGCGATTTTAATTCCCTTGGTTTCGCCAGGAACGAAAGGAATGAAAGATATTACGAAAATAGAAATCTTGATCGAAACCCGTACCGCGGAATTCGCGAAGCGACTAACCGATCAGTTAACTGGACCACCGAATTCGCTTCAACAGATGAGTTTTCTGGATCCTAATAGAGCGCAAGCGTGGGGTTAGTGTCCTTCACCAACGAGAGAACATCTATTCTACAACAGAAAGATCTGTTTTATTAAGTTTCAAGAAACCTTCGCTAGTTTACGTAATGAAGTATACGCAAAACGAACCATGATGAGTGATTCGACACGTAATATGCAAGCGTATGCCTTTTGCTCTTTATGATATTAGGTAGCTCCTTCAAAACATCATATACAGGTCTCCCACGCAACTGGATCAAACTTTCTTAACGATGAAGAAGAATGATATAAGAAGAAAATAAAATGGAATGGGTTGAAGTAATTATTTTTATGCATCTTTGCGCATTTATGCATTTGAAGTGTAATTACACTTTTTCTTTAGATGGAACCCTATGCTTTGACTGCATTAATTAGTGTAAACTTCCCCTGTGGAAGAGTATCGAAATTTATGCAACAAATATTTAGCTGCATAGCTAAAAAATATTCCAACGATCTTCCACTGCATTAAACATACTATCCCATTTTTTTCTGAAAAAATATAAAAATCTAATAAATTGTTATAAATATAAAACACTGAGAAAATTAACAAAAATATCACTGGAAAGAAAAATTATAATATAAAGGTTGCAATATAATTAATTGTTCTTCTTCTTTTGTTATCATTGTAATGTACATTACATATTCTACAGAACCAATACTAATCTTCCACTACATTATAGATACTATCCCAATTTTTTGTCTAAAAAGTTATAAAAACCTGACAAATTGTTATAAATATAAAACACTGAGAAAATTAACAAAATAATACAGAAGAGACAAAAATTATGATATAAAAGTTACAATATAGTTAATTATTCTTCTTATGTTATCAGTGCAATATATATATATTACAGTACAAATTCTGTTCTATCTATATATATTCTACAGAACCAGATAGTGTGGATATGAATTTAACTTACTTCATTTATTATTTCACAAATAACGGAAAAGTTTTAATCCCTTTAACCTTATATTTAACTACCTTTAAATAGTGAATTAATATAATATGATATAATGGTAATTTAACTGGTATTAAAAGAAAAAAAAAAGAGTGAACTTTCAGTCAGTAAATGGTACCTATCAACGAGATTTCTTCGTGAATTACTGCGTTCTCTTTCAATCTGGAGTTGTTAACAAATCCGAAGGCGGTAAGACATCAACAGTGAAATCAGTGAACTCGTTGGACAAACGACGTTTAACGTGCCACGCTGTGGAGGCGTCGATGGTTAATAGGATACATGACGAGCCTCAGCAGCAATCGCAATTATGTTACTATAAAGTATCCGTAGATTGAAGTAAAAATTTCGCAAATTGATACTAATTTTCACCTGTGATGTACTTGTAAAACAAAAACGTCATTCAGTTTATCTGGTTTATAAGAATACATAATAAATATATAATAAATGTGTAAACTTAAAAGAATCGTAGACTCAAGATAAGAATCCAATTAAAGTAATAAAGAAACATTTTACCTTCTATTCTAATCAGGACTCTGATAATTTTATTCTCCGTTCTATACAATTAAGAAAATGTTTATTTATAGAAATCAGATTTTCCAAGCGTAAATCTTTGAGGAGAAAGAAAGTATTGTGAAGTCCTTTTAAAATTCCACGTAAATCCCATTGGTTTCAAGAGACTTCCGTTCCGCGCGACATTACAAATCACGCAATTCTTATCCGTAGGAAAGCTTCTGGATGTAGGTGTACACCACGATTACGTGCGGAGAATGATTTATAGAAACGTCGCACATCTCGCTATCCTCGATGCTTACTCTTAAAGCACCTACGCTTGATTTGAACCACGCGTTCCGTCCGCTGAAAACACGACGGTCCCTACATCCTTTTTAAAAATAATTACATTTGGTTACCAGGCTATGGTGCACCGTGCAAAGGGGGAGAAAGCAGCTGGGTACGAGCGCCCACAACGGAAGAGCAGCCACCGCGCCCCTAATAAATCGGAAGTGGCACCGTTCTCCTTTTTTTTTCTTCGTCTGCCTCCTCCTTAGCAAGGAGGAAACGCCATTTACCCGGTCACTCGATCATCCACTAGTAAATATAATTAATTAAAACGGAAGCTTGCCGTAAGAGACGACAAGTGATTTCAGGAGGGGGTTGATTTAAATCGTCTAAACTGCTACGGCTTTGTGTCAGCTTGGCTAGTTATGTTCTATTGTGTCGGGGTAATTCTCTAAGATCTTTTCAATGGCTATTGCCGGTACTATGTATGGTTTCCTTGATCTTATTTTCTCCGTTGTTCAACCGGGCACGTCATGGATTACTTTATTTGCGTTTCAATGTGATTCTTCAATCTGAAAATCTAACTATATTTTAATGAAGTGTTTCGATAGTGGAAGATCGATCGATGTGAAAGCGAGGTTATGAATAGTAAGCATCTTGTTCTTTACTCACGCATTCCCTGCTAAATCTGTTTTTAATGATTTTCCTTTCATGCCACGTGTGTCGTGTAGATATTGCATTGTCTAATGTGAAAAGAAAATATTTTTAAAAGATAATTCAAAAGGTCAAATATTGCATTAATATTTTAAATCAGTATTAGATCAATAGAAAAGATTTATAAAATACTTATCGGAAAAGGCAGCCACTTTGAATAAAGAGTGTAATACTGGCATTGTCCTGTAGGTCAATTTTTAATGATTATTTTGATTAATTTGGTTGAAATATATGATCAAAAGTGCGTTCTAATTATAAATAATATCTAAGACTTGCAATAAACTGAAATCTGGAAAACTCAAAGAAAGAAATTATCATATGACAATCGATGATTATTATCAACGATAATCAATGATAATTATCAATAATAATTATCACATTATCAATGATAATCGATTATTCTTATTCATGAATTAATATAATATAATCATAAAATTTTGGTTTTGATAAATATTGGAATAAAAATCATTTTTGAAATTATGATACGAAATATAACCTCATACCTGGAATGTATTATTTAAAATTAACGAAGAAATGAAAATGCGTTTTAACGAAATATATCACTTCGTAAATTAGAAAGTGCAGCTTTCTCGTCAAACGACGAATTTCTTCGAATATGACGTTTGCAGGAATTATGCTTCAAATCGATGATCATTTCAAGCACTATCATCGCTAAAGTGTTGTCAGTTACTACTCGTTGGGAGCGTTCATATTGCCCCAGATTAAGCCTAGAGTTACACCCCCAAGTCTAATAAAAAGCAAACGTTTGACGATTTATTGTCAAGGGACCGCTCGTTCAGTCCCCTTTCTATAAAAACTTCGACCTAAATCAGTTTAATTTTACATTATAGATCGTGAACGTTAAACCTAAACAAAATTAAAGGATCAATATACACGCATGACTGCGAAAATTGCTATCAATGTTAATAGAAATTCGTAGATATGATTAATCTTACGTTTCTCTGACAAATTAATCTTGGTTCGTGGTGCCCGGATGCGGGTTTCGTGGAAACTTGTCTGTTCCTCGTAAGATATTAAAAGAATATCATCAATTTCAAACGTCTATCATTTCTGCATTAATCTATAAAACTATATTTTCCATTATATTTTATGTTTTAAACAATATTTTTTATAATTTATCCATAGTATAATAAAATATTCTGGTACCTGCCTCAAATGTACATTTTAAGTATGTTATATCTAAAGTCATTAAATCGTGGGAAATTTTTCCTGATTATTTCGAGAATTATTTAATATTAATAATTGCAAATAACAATATAATTAATAATTACAAGAACAAAATAATTAAACATGTAAATTTTTATCTCTTCCACTGAGGAAAATATTAATGTCATATTTCATATAAAAATATTATATCTACTATACCATCACACTAATATTTATTAAAGCAATTTTAATTCTAGGAAATATAAATATCCTAATGTTCGTATAATAAAAATTAAATGTTACGCTAAAAAGGGATAATTCCTAGATAAATAAATTATCTAACACAGTTAATCAGATAACGAGTTGACATACCAATTGGTTCATATAATTGGTTCTGCATCATACGATACATAACCTCTTTGTGTAATACATACTTATAGTGTGACATATATTAATTAATCTCTTATTTAAACAGTACGAATAAGATTAGAATTCTATAACTACACGTTCTTTCTTGAAGAAAATCACACCTTTCTGAATGAAGAAAAATTTGAAAAATTACCGCAAAACGTGTTATAAACATTTCCTAAAACCGTCAGGTTCTCCCGTTCGCTCGTAATCATATGCATGTCAACACCCAGCTTGCATTTATGTTCGTCGTCATTCGCCTAGTAAGTCCGTTCCCCCCTCTACCGACTGCTTTGGGCCCGTATCTAGCGCGGTAAGCAGTCCATCCGTGGTGACGGTGACGGACGGGTTGATTGTGTATTGCTCTCTGCCACGCTTTCATTTGTCGTGACAATCGATTTCCGTTCGTGGATCTTTATCGACAGCCGGTGTCATACGTTTTTAGGAACCTTTCATATTTAGGAATTCATCCTATACACGAACTGCTGTATCGACATAATCGTATCGCAAAGAAACGTAAACATGGACAGGAAAAAGTGTCTCGTTTAACCTCTCTCGTGTGATTCCGGTTCATTGTTGTTTCAATTGCATGACAGTATTTGGTGAATTCTTTGGACAGTAGAAAACTGCGTGAAGCTATACTTTTGCTTCGAAGCGTTATATGTGAGTCAAGAGGAACTGAAAATTTTCCTGGTATTTTGCGGATGTCCTACCGGTCACAGGCCGCTATGACGGATGATTCGTGAAAAGAATTAATGCGGTGAGTCAGAATCGTGCGTTCTTTATTGCAGTGTGGTTCCCACAAGTTTTATCTTATTCCCGCGTATTTTTGTTAAGGAAAGTACGAATGAAAGTCGAGTGCAATTTTCAAGTGTCGTTCAAGTGTCGAGTAACTTGACGCGAGAAACGACAGTTAGCGAGTTCGCTGAACGAAGCAAACGGCAATTGGTCTCGAGACATGTGCGTCATTTTGAGGACCAATGCCAAGATCCAGGCAAAAAACGCGCGTATGGGCTTCATACGACGACGAACGTTCCTGAAACGAAAAAAGGCTACTACAATACGCAACACGCATGACGTCCGTGTATTTTTCTCCTCTTTTTCTTGCCTCTTCTTTGTCACTGTCTCCCTACTGGCGAGTCTGTAGCTGCAGACGTGTATAACACGTGGTGTGCTGTGGGCGGGATTCGAATGTGTCACGATCCGATCGGTTTTGAACTTCGTTCATAAGTGCTGGATATTTACATCCGCCAAGTTGCTCGGTTTCTCAGGTGACATTCCTAAAAACATTGTGATATACCGAATATATTGTTTAAACCTCGAAAATGATACTTATTATAATTATTTTTATTTGATATAATTGTCTATATTAAAGGATCTATATGAATCTTTTATAAAAACATTAGTCTTTAGTCATATATAAATAATATTTTATGAAACTATATTTGTTAATACTTTTACATATGTCCTGTATACAATGTTTGTGGAATGTAAGTGCATACTTTTTAGAGTATTATAATACTAGTTCCTTCAAATGAAACAGACATAAATTAATAAATTTATAAATACTTTTTTCAAATTTCATTTGAGGTATGTATACCGATTATTATTACAGTATATTTTATTAAATATGTATCATTACTTTTATTGCAATATTATTTTCATTGTTTGAATAGAATGATGAATTCGAAGAAATACAAAAACATTCTCTGGTTCTGCTGATAATTGGTATTGAATAATCACTATCTGATTCATCACTTTGCATGTTAAGCCAATTAGTCGATGTTCTCTATTTAACAGAAGATAATCAATTTTATCTTTTCATAAAACATATTTCTATAAATAATTGATAAAGTAGTTTATTATCAAAAGTTACTAAATTTTGAAATGAACTTAATTACAATAACTTCTCATATTGTACAGTCTACAATTATATAATCTAATACTAAAATTCAAGGTATTTTTAAATATTACAGAAACGGTATATTCATTCGTAATATAATTCATGCAAAATTAAAATGTTCGCGAATTTTATAAACTTATGAAATATTTCATATCTTTTATTTATTTATTTTCTTATAATATATCATTTATATTTATATTATATTATATTATATTAATATAAATATTTATTTATTTAACAACTTTATTTATATTTCTTCACATTTTTATTTCACTCTTTGTGTTCGTTATTTGCTGAAGAAATTGATCCTCGACTTTTACGAATTTATTCCCTGCACGTCCATTTGCATAAGCCTGTTTTGCTCTTGTAAATCCGCCATGAAATATTTATAGCATCACGAAGACGAACATTTGCATCACTCGTGTAGAAAGCATCCCGTTGTTAATAATTATCAACTTAGATGCGAAAACTTCATAAGTCAACACTCTACTTAACAGCGATAGTACTTAATTAAAGGCAATCTAGAATTCTCGGAAACTAGCGTGAATCCTCAATTGCAACAAGCGTCTGTTCCATTTTCGAACCCGTGTTTTGTTGTCTCGATACATTAACCCCTTTGCACTTCTGCGTCATCACCATCGGCTTTGCTAGCTTCACATCGTGCAAATGAAATTCAACGCTAATATCTTAATCAATTAAATACCTAATGATTTAACTCGGTTCCTGATCCATAATACGGTTAATACATAATAATTACATTTTTCATTTATTATCTGATTTTTTGGAAAATAGTGTATTGAGTTCCTCAAATGATGGTAAGTTATTTACTTGCAATTAGTAATGGGTCAGATTAGGTTACGTTAGGTTGGTGGGTAATGAGATTATTAATCTGTAATATACAAATACATATAAATGCTGTATATAGATGAATATAATTGAAATGTTACCATATTATTTATTACATGTAATAAAATATAACATACACAACTAAAATATTATTTTATATTGTGTTATGTTCTGTAACATGTATTATTAAAATACTATATGAAATAAATTACAATATATATATAAAAATACATGTAACTTATAGAAATATGTAATATAATATATTACATTACATATATTATACTACTTTACTATAATATCTTATATGATAGTAAATTAATATATTTAAGTGATACTCAACATTAATTTTATTGCAGAATCTTCTGATAAATAATTAAAGATTTAAATTCTTCGATATTTATCTGCAATTTTCAGAACTTGTCTTTGCTGATAAGACCTTAGACTGTTCCCGTCGTTAACCCACTTTGAATAGTAGTAAATTAAAATTCGATTAGAGATACCTAGAGATTTAAATTGCAATAAAACGTCTAGCATTTACGTATCTATAAATTACAGTTTTACAATACGTTGTAAGGTGTAACGAATTTTACCTGGGTTTACGATACTTAAACAGTTTTCGTGTCATAAATGAATAAATTTTATGCCTGCCCTTTTACCTTGATTCTTCTACATGTTATGGAACCGTTGGTTTATTTCAGTTTGTATAATATATGACAGTAACAATGGTACAACTGGAAATGAGGCGATACCACATGTGAAAATAAGTCAAAAAAATAGAATTCTTCAAAAAAATGGAATTTGAAAAATTAAAAATTGATTTGCTGTACCTTTAGTATCTATTTAGTATCTATAAATGAATCCTTAAAATTGCAGATATTACCAGATTCAGCATTAATATACAGCGTATCTCAGAATGAGTACACAAAACAGTAAAAATTTTGGAAATCATTTCTCATTCGCTAAAATTAAATTTCAAGTGATCGTAAATTTTACACTCGGTGCTTATGTAGTTATAACATTTTGGTGTTTCACCGTTATCGTAATAAAAGGTAATCCTCAACAAATTGAAACGAGAGAAAGGAATACGAAATATCCGTTATTTCTACTTCAGTTTTATGATAGATGCACAAAATGTGTTCGCTGAACTTGAATACAGGTATGACAGCGAAACAAACTCGCAATCTTATTATGAGAGATAGTACAAATAATAATTATTTATTATTATTTGAATTTATTAATTCTTAAAAAATATCTTTTGACCTATTTTTAGTAAAAAAGTGTTGATTTCATATGACACCATAGATTAAAAAAGGGAGACAATCCTTTAAAATCAAGATTAATTGATAAAATATAAATACCTAAAGAATATATAAATAAATATGTAAATTGATTATTTCTTATTTTATTGCAGAATATTAACAGACAATTGTAGTCTACGAGAAACAAAATGTATATATAATGTTTGAAAAAGATTCTCATTCTTTGAGTGAAGTAGGTATAAAAAGAAGTTTCAATTAATACGCGGATATATCGTCATTGCATAAGTGTAAGAGGGAAATCGAATTGTACAATAACACAAAAATAAAAAAAAAAACTAGATTTCATGACAAGATCGAATTGAAAGAGCTTTAAAAAATCTTGTTATTCAGATTTTTTAATTTGTGTAATATTAATTATCTTTCATATTCATATTGAATAAATAAAATTTTAGAAAAGTCTTCACTTATTCTGTATACATTTTATAATCTGAGCATTGTAGTAGTAAGTTAAATTAAATTTTAAAGTCGATATAAGAAAACATCAATGGACAGAAATTTTAAACATTTTATACATTACTGTAAGTGTAAAAGTATAAAAGTATAGTATAGTATAATATAAAAGTAATACTTAACCTAAAAAAAATATACATATAATATATGTATATTTTTTTTAGGTTAATATATAGATTTATTATAACGCCTACTCGGTTATTGTGGATTAGATATCAAATCATATTGGCACTGAAGATTATAGATAGGTAAATACAATGTAGTATTGATTTACTGTTAAAAACAATATTTATCCGATTTCGTTCGCGTGGGTGAGCTTTCCCTGAACTCATTGCACGTGTACAGATTGTTCACATGTTGCTCTCGAAATACGAGTGACCGTAAATTTCAATCCGCATTCTGCACTAGTGCTTTAACAGCATTAATGCTAAGAATACTATCAGTGTCACAATAGTACGCCGCCATTGTTTCATTCTTTGGTTTCTTTTACTACACCATGTTTACCGCTTCTTGACTTTGAACCTATTTCTTGTAACACATTTGATCGTGTTGTTCTTCCTGATCTTTCATCTTTGATTGAATTTCTGCAACATAAACTCCTTTGGTTTCTATTTCCTTAAGAAATAGAACTTGCATTAGAATTAAACCAATATTGCAACTATTAACCTCTAATGTGCAACTGAACATATTATATACATGTAGATAAATGACATTGATTAGTTTTTTGGTTATAGTAATTATTAGTCATTAAATCTCAAATTAAAGTAAAAACCTTAACCAATTACAATTGTTTCCTTTCATAAGCAAAGAAACTTTTAACTATAGTTAATCAGCAAAATTCTAATCATATTTGTAATTTAGGTTTTCTTCTTACTTACTATTATGATTCACATTTACATAATTTTCTGTTATGTTTGTCCTTTAGGTGGTTTCAGATTTATTCAACATCTTTCACCTAAATTTATATAAACATACTTTAGCTTCTCACAAGTAAAACAATTCAGATTGAAATATCAATACTGATATGTCATTAACAATACAAGACATAGTTATCAACATCAAATCAAATATAGGTTATCTTAATAACTTAGTTCTTTAATCCTTTATTTAAACGAGATACTTTACTTAAAGTTTCAACAAAAGAACAAAGTAACCAAAACAATACATTGTGATCTTAGTATTAATAATAAACTTTTATTAGTTTCGTTGGTTGACACTAGGTGCAGACAGTATAGACACAACTATTTAGTTAACCAAACGTCGTATTTTATTTACACCAGACATATTATTCATTCCGAATCCAATATCACTGTCATCCTTTCCATGAATGGAAGCAGTCATCGTCCTAGGTAAAAGTACATCGGCAATAAACAAGATAATCAACCGATTTGCATGAACGCAGCACGCGTGTCAATCGTCCCGCGACTCGTCGATTTCTTAGGCACTTTCACCGTGAGTCAAGTTGACTCATTCATTGCCATTCGCCGCGTGATTAACTCGGAAATCATTCGGTGACGTCAGACGGTCACCGCGGATTCTATGGAAGACGACGTGACGTCTCTCCGCGGTTTTGTCACGCGTCAAGGTGTACCACTGAAATACGAGAAATACCATCGACTCTCCGGTAGCTTGAGAACGTAGCTGCGCGAAGTTTCCACGCGCAGAATACATGGAGCTAAAAAGAGGCGCACGCAATTTCCCTTTGCGACATGCAACACGTGAAGCTTTGCGTGTTGACTTATATGAAGTTTAATAGATACAAATTTATTTCTTAACTCCTTAGGTCATGATATCGACTCATACATATGACATAGAATATTTATTTACTTCGTTTCATTCGATGAATAAAATTAACATTCTGTTTAGTATATTGAATAAAATATAATGGGAAGTGCCAAAGCGGTACTATTTAACCTCTTATCTGGGTTGTGTTATAATTAGAAACTTTTTTAGACACGGAATTAAAAATTTGATCAGCTATTATTTGAATAAAATAATATATAGCAAGTTTTTACTAATAACTAATTTTTACTGGCATTCATTACATGGTAAAATTTATAAAATCCAAAAATAGATAGAAGAAATCAAACTAAGAAAAAAATGGATTTGTTTTATGCAGGAATGTTGCTTAATTAATCCGGAGATATTAATTTGAATAAATCAGTGTAGCTAATAAATGCATATCTTTTACGAGATATAAATTAATAGACCAAAACTTAAAATGCGGAACTTGTTCTACTTTCTCTCTGTAAATTTGCTTTATATTATTTTTTTTAATTAATTTTTGCTTCGTTTTATTCAATAATGTTTATATTTCAAGGAAATCTAGTTTCTGTGATGTAATGTAGCGTTAGTAATTTTATATATTCTCAAATAAATTTCTGAATTAGTATATATACTCTTTTCTATATTCAACTCATTTCAAGAATTTGAATTGAAATATGAATTTTTGTCACTTCTTGGTGTTTCAAATTGATTTCTCTATATTATTACACTTTTAAGCACTTAAACGCAACAAGATAAGCACAAGACGTTGGAATTTTTTAACTGGATCAAATTTTAATTTAGAAATTTGGTAAATTAAATACATCTACTTCCTTGTGACTAAATTAAATCATCATACTTCCTTATAAATTGCATATGTTAGAGTAAACTTGTTAATAAAACATGAAATGATTTCGAATTATAAATTTGCGGAATATTCACTCCAAGCATATCCTCGCAAAATTACCAAAAGAGAAATTAGTAGTACCTAAAATAAAATATAAAAAATTAATTAATAAATTTTTTAAAAATATCGACTATGATTTAAAAAGTCTAGTTATAAGCTTGATCTGTAATCAATATTACGTATCATAGCGTACTTAGAAAGAGAGAGAGAGAGAGAGAGAGAATTTAACGAAAGGTTTAATGTCAAAAGACTAGATAGCGCAACAGAGCGACATCGTCCGTTGGTTCCCATGTCTTCCATCACTTTTGACGAGTTTTTTTGTTACTGGGGACGCCTAGTACCGGGTGTCCGTTAATTTCTCTTAATTAAGCTCAATCGAGGTTAATGCACCGCAGCTTGACCCTAGTTTACTAAATCCAGCGTAGCCTGAACCCAGGCTATGGTTTCTTTATCGATATCTCTACCACGTGGTAGTTTCTTCAAACATCGTGTCAGTCATTCTCGTCACTTAGAGATGTATCATTGCGCTGTCCATAAGTATTTTCGGTTATTTGTATATTACTTTTGTTATTTATATAACAAATTTTAGTTGTTGACTTTCTAGAATTTTCCATCTAAGTGTTCGTAGATATTTTCAATGAAATTTGCATGAAAAGATTGTTAGGTCCAATATATAATTGTCAATATATTATTTTCTCGTACTCTTGTAAATAATTTTTAAGAATTCTTACCGTGTGTTTAGGATCGTTATTTACCAGGAATATTGAGTTGATAATCTAAAACTAACATGTTTTATGTGAGATGGATATATGTCCCAATATAATTTTGATAATTAAAATAAATTTTAAAAAATGATAATTAAAAATAAAATAATTTAAAATAATTAAAAAGTTATAAGTTTGTTATAATTTTTTGTTCAGGTCAAAACGACCTATGTTTATTTGTTTATGTAACTTCCTCTTTTTATTCATAACCATATTTTAACAAAATTTGGCAAAAAAATGTAACATTCTGTGTATCTCAAAATCTGAAAGATGTTCATGTTATTCTGACATACTTGATATACTGTTATGTCATATTTCATTTAATCATATTAAAATTAAAGGTTATGTATATTTTATAAACATAATTCATAGTTTTAATATATATATAATTAGGATGCACCTTTTGTTCTTTCATGTTAATAATCGCTTGGAAAAGAAAGAATTAGGATAATGCTCTTCACAAGCATGTCTTATCTCGTCCTTCATAAATCCTCCAGATGACCTACTTCCGTCGAATAAAGACGCCCTTCCAGTCCCATAAATAATAATGAATTCCTTCAGTCACTTTTTATGATTAATGTCCCTTCAATTTGCATTGTAGAGCTTCTTAAATAGTCGTAAATTATCAATGATCTGTATATATAATCTATATATATCTAGAAATAAAAAATATTCGCTTAATTTAGGTTTAAATATTTCTGTCAAATATATTTAATATTTTTATCTCTTGTTTTGATATACATACGGGACTGTTTTATCGCAAAATTATATGTACTTAAAATATATTATGCAGTGACGAAATCTTCAATTAACAGATTAACTCATTTTTAACGAATGACGTATTGATATATACGTCAAAGCCTGTATTGTTACGTCAAAGATGTTTTCGTCATCTTCATAAATGACGTATCCATAAGTCGAAATATAACTTGTTGCAGTAAACGACATACTGCGCCCTCTTGCACAATCGTTTACCAACTAATAACCCGCACGAATTGATAGATGACAGGTTATAGGTTATAGACTTCTGTCGAGTAGTTTTTATAATTTAAAAATTTTATTTCAAATAAAACATAAGATCTGTAAATCTGTTAATAATTGATCTGTTTTTTATAAAATTTGTTTATAAAATATTACTCGTTTTATTGTTACATATTTCACAAAAGAATTTATCAGTGTTGGTAATTTATCTTTCATCACTTGTAGAATTTCACGGATAATATTAGTACAATTATGTAAGACAGCTCTGATATCTGTAAGTAAATATAGCAGCATGTTTATGTTATTGATACGGTAGCAGTTATTATAAGAATTAAATATCACTCGGTTGATATTGATGACAAAACCTAAATACTTTGATTTACTTGATATTATATAACAAATATTAAGAAGAAAATAATACAACGTAATATACGTAATGTGTCACAATATATAAACATTTAAAAATTGATGGCACTTATTATAAACTTGTACAAATATAAATAATATACCATACTTAATATTTTGTACCCAAAGTTAAAATGTTTTACTATATTTTGTAACAAATATATCACGTCAAATATTTCGATTGTGATTCGAGACAAACACACAATAATACAAAACAAGGTAACAGTTAGCACACGTATATATATTTCATATTTTCAATATAATTCTCTAAAATATTATATACTTATTTGTAGCAGGTTATATGTAAAATAAATATTTTTACGAGAAAGCATAATATTTCTATTGCACATTATCCTGTAAGATTTGCAGTGCTTGATTGTTTAACAGTAAAACATAACCTAGATAAGTATGAATAGATTTATTCTTTGTACACAACGTTTCAAATTGTTGTTTCGATCAAACTTTCCTCGAAACGTAGATCAAACGAATTCCAAAGCAACAGTTGCGTAAGTAGTTCAGAATCGAATTAAATCATTTCATCGAACAGAGGCTGATTCGGTTGAGGAAATTATTTCAAAGCAACGATGTGATTTCCGCTTTACGTCACACATAGTGGATAACGCTGAAAGTTTAGCTCGTGGTTTCCTCTTCCTGAAAATTTACGTTCCTCTAAATATATAGTGAATAACCTCGTTTAGTTTTAATGAAATATAAAAATTTATTTTTTACAGATATTATCTTTTTATTATTGTTCATTATTATTTTTAGTATTAAGGAAGAAAATTAAGAATATCACATCAGGTTCACTTATGTTAACCAACTGTTTGTAAAACTTCATTTATCCAAAATCCTATTGGAACAAAATTTTAATTATCCAATTTACCGAATCCTGATCCGATTGTAAGTTATTTCAATGAAAAATCATAGTAGTGGTACAGTAGTATATAAATTTATAAATAACTCGATGTTTTTTTATATCGGTTTATTCTAAAATGAAGCTTTATACAAGAAAATATCACTTTATATTTTCGGCTTATTTTTTTTACGCACATTCACATCCTTTCAACTTGCGTTACTAGTTTGGAACCTAATAACTATATAAAATTATTGCTAATAATTATTGTTAGTATTATCATCAAATGTATTATCAATGTTGCTGTGGATTATAATTGTTCCTTTTATTAATTGATTATTAGTATTAATTGTGATTATTATCGTCATTATAGTTGGTATTGTTATTATTATAGTTAAAAATTATCTTAATTTTATATTTAATAAGAAAATCTTATTTTCTTTGCTTGTTTCAGGCCTCGGAAGTGGTCGAAATCGTATGAATCACTCAAGATAAACCGAAATTTCTAATTTTTAAGATGGACAGCTTCACCACCTGGTTATTACGTAGTTCAGAGAACAGTACGCAAAGTGCATTAATTGATGGTGGGCTATCAAGGTGATTGTAATTTTTGTCATCAGAGTTTGAAAAGAAGTCAGAATAAAAAATCGTACAACTTGACGTCTAATATTAATTTTTATGTAAAAATTAACTACTTATCATATAACTTACGTATAATGTATTCTTCCCTAATTAATATCATTAAAAGAAAAATAACTATAATTTTTTTTAAGTCGTTCTTAATTATTTTAGATAAATTTTAAAAGTTTATACATTATTTCGTAACACACTGTAGATAATAATTTTTTGGAACATATGTATAAATGGTAAATGTAGGTTTAATAATTAATTAAATTAACTAATTATAATAATAATTAATTAAAGACCCAAGATATGAGGAGTTGGTACAAAAGACATTTTTAATAATTTTGGAATTTTTTAATTTTTATACACAGATTCCCTAAACCATTGAGGACATTTGCAGCTGTGGTCGCAATTCTAATTATGATCACTGGGCTTGTTGGTAATTTGTTGACAATCATAGCACTCTGCAAATATCCCAAAGTTCGCAATGTTGCAGCAGCATTTATTATAAGGTAAATAAGCATCTAAATTACTGTTTCCGATTTAGGACAGAAAATATTAAATCGGGTTAGAAATAAATAGTCAATGATCATTATTTTACTTATAATTAATTTCTCCAATGTATAGCCTAATTTATTCCATTTTCAAAAATATTCTAGTATCCATTAATTAATCAATTTATTTAAAAATAAATATCGATTGCTGCGACATTTGTAGCAAAGTTTTCTTGCCTTGAACAATTGCCTAAGTGACGATTGCCTGATAATGTAATAATACGTGGGTATTGGTAACAGAACAAAGAGGAAGTTGCAAAACTTCGTATTTCAATTCAATTAGCCTTTCTATAATGATTTACGGTGCACAAAGATAATTGAAAAGATCTTTTGCTAACGTATAAATTCAGTTGAAGGTGTATAAAATTATTGACGATAATACTTTGAAAATATTTCGAATATTATTTGAAAGTTATTCTTTAATTTTATTTGTAGAACAATTTATTTTTAAAATAGAATAAATATTTAAATGATAATTAAATTTATTTATTTTAAATAATAAATTAATTTGTTTGATATTTAGATGTAATTTCATAAATTAGAATTTTATGAATTATTTAATTTATACCATAATTACTATAAAGTAATTATGTAATAATGAATTCTAAATAATAATAAAAATTTATTAATCATTGCAGTCTCTGCGTGGCAGACTTTGTATTCTGCCTTCTTGTACTGCCATTCGATTCCATTAGATTCGTCGATGCAAGTTGGGCAGATGTACGGTTTCTATGCGTCCTTGTACCTTTCCTGAGATATGGAAATGTTGGCGTGAGCCTCCTCTCAGTTGCAGCTATCACTATCAATAGGTATGCATCATATCTTCACCAGAAAGAGGAAGTGTTAGTAATGAAATATTTATAAATATTATATGTAATAAAGGGAACATTATTACAATTACACATATTTCTTATAATTAAATATTAATTATACAATATATTTTGAATCACTGTGTATACTAAGTTCAATAGATTATTTATTTTAGATACATTATGATAGCCCATCACAGCGTATACAGCAAAGTTTATAAAAAGTATTGGATTGCATTTATGATTGTTTTCTGTTGGGTATTTTCTTATGGAATGCAAGTACCCACCTTATTAGGAATTTGGGGTAAGCTTTATTAAAATATCATTTGATTAAATCTTTCCAAAATTTGTATGTACGAAAGAAATTTAATACCTATTGAGAAAACCAAATCGTAAGAGTATTGAAAATATATTTCAGTAACAAAAACAAAACAAAAAAAAAAGCGATTAAATTTCTTGATCAATCTGATATTACAGTTTGAACAAAATTAAAAATATCAAAATTTAACTTTCTTTGTTCCATTCCTCAGGTAGATTTGATTACGATCCGAATTTAGAAACTTGTTCGATCGTAAGAGACAGCAGAGGTCAGACGTCGAAAACTTTCCTTTTCGTAATGGGTTTTGTGATACCCTGCGTAGTAATAATCAAATGTTATACTAAAATATTTTGGGTCGTACACAGGTAAATAGTTTTATTTCGTTTTATTTCTATCTTTAGTAATAATAATTGTTAATAATAAAATTAAATAAAATAGTTAAGATGCTATATAACGTCTCTGAATTTTGAGAAAAAACTTCATTTTCAAACAATTTCAGTTTACTTTTTAATTTACACAAATAAAAATACTATAATGAAATTAAAATATGAGAAAATAATTTTCTTAATACATTTAACTATGTATAAGTTAGATGACTATAAAAAATAATTAATTTATGCATTATTTGTGATAACAATGGACGACTTCAATAAATTTGTTGCATTGCAATATTATAATTCGAAATTATAAAAGACACTAAAAAACAAAAAATGTATCAATAAGTATCATTTTTGATGTTATTTTTATAAAAGTATGTGAGTTCTAAGTAATAATATAGATAATGGGATAAAATTATTCATAATATTTTGAACTATTTATTACTTTTGATTTACAGATCTGAGACAAGAATGCGAAAGCATGCAGCCCCAACAATAAAATCTCCACATACACCCGGAAGGGATACTAGAGAAATCAAACAGAGACGCAGTGAATGGCGAATCACGAAAATGGTCCTTGCTATTTTCCTTAGTTTCGTTGCTTGTTACCTTCCAATTACTATTGTTAAAGTTGCTGACGTCGAAGTTAAATATCCAGGTAATATATCTAACAAAATGTACGATGAACAAAAGTGCGTTTAGTGAAAGTAGGATAATCGTATTTCAAAAATGAAAATATTATATCAGTTAATTCTCGTAAAAGTCACAGTTCATTTATGAATAATAATCAATAGTAAATTAATTTTTCAAAGTGATTTTACGTCGAAAGTAAAATTGTTCTTGGCATATTGGATTTTTTAATTAAATGACTTTTTCTGTAAGACTTATTATAAAATAAAATAAAATTTCACAAACTAAAAAAATTGAACGATATTTATTAAAAATAAATAATGTATGTTAATTATATTTTATAACATAACATATTTTATATTACTATAAAGCTTAAAGTTAAAAGTATTCATAAAATTTTCCCGTGACTCGCTCTAGTTAAGAAATTAAAAGTTACAATATTTTAAAAAGTTTTGATTAGTCATAATACAATAAATAATAATATGAAATATTACAATCTTATAACATATTATTAATAACATACATCAGACTAAATGTCCATATCTTCTCCCCGCAGAATTTCACGTCTTGGGCTACCTACTCCTCTACTTCGCCTCTTGCGTGAACCCCATTATTTATGTGATCATGAACAAACAGTACCGTCAAGCGTACGCGGGCGTGATAGGATGTTCTCGGATAAGGGCGAGCTTGTCACCCTACGGGAGCAGTGCACCAGGTCATCATCATCAGCAGGACTACGGCCAAGGTAACTTCGAGCACCGTCGCGTGGTAACGCTCACCAAGCTCTGACCGAACGCGAGCTAAGCGACCACACTTCGCTCACTTCGTAAGTCAAGGGCACAAATTCGCTGCTTTCTAAAATTGCAATTGATCCCGCGAGCATGTCCATATTTCCTTTTTGCCCTTATATTTACTCGCCTGCATTTTAAGTCTTAGGGAATAATACAACATATTACTAATTTCGTAATATTTAACGTCGGAGGATTTATTTACTTTTATTATAAGAGATTTCGTTGATTTTTTCAGGTCTTTTATTTTTTGTTCATTTAATAAAGTAGAAATATGTGTCATAACAACTGAAGAGTTGAATTAAAAGTAACTATTATTTTTAACAAGAGAAATATAGATGGAAAGATGTCTGTTTATCCTTGGTTTAATAAATTAGTAATTTCACTTATTACTAATTTTTATAAAGCTGTCTTTGATATACACGTGAGTCTATAATAATATTTAAGTACAAAATAGAAATAAAATATGTATACAATATTTAGAAAAGTTTTAAATTACAAAAATTCATACAATTTCACTTCTACTTTTAGCAATTGCTTTCATAATGTTCTTATGTAAAATCCAAAATGCTTGAATTACAACAGAATAGAAATGCATTCAAAAACTCTACACCAAAGTAATCATACCCGTGAATCATCTTCTTTCTCATTGTTATTCTTTCTCATTAACACCTTGCTACTTGCTGCTATGCGAACCATTGTTGAAGCACGCGTTCGAAGGAGAACCAGCATTACAAATTGATTTCCAATTGTATGGGTTTTTTTTTCTTTTTCAGATTATTCGAAAGACTTTAGCAAAACGATGGTGTCATCAGTTTCCATCGCTATGAATCCTGTGAGAAATTCTCATTTCGAAGAAACTCGGGACTAAACTTTCAAAACGGAAAAAAAATCAATAAATGATATTAAATTGATTTTTGAAGACAAAAGACAGTATTCAGGGTGTTTTTTAACATGTAAAACCGACGGCAGCGGACGATAGGCATAAAAACAGAAACATACAATTAGATATTATAAAAATATAAACGTAGCCATAACTTGACAGCAAGGTCAAATGCAATCTTGCAATAAATTCTGTGTTTTGAAACTCCTATGCTCATAATTAAGTATAAAAGCAAGCCATAAAAAAAGACAATTAATAAAAAGAAAAGGAAATGTAGATGTAAATAGCAAGAAGACTTGAAAACTATGATTATTCAGAGGATTAGAAAAACAAATACGAAAGATTAAAGACACAGCTGAGCTGTCATTAGGTTTATCTGAATTAGTTCATAGCAAAAAATATGACTAGTATTGTATAATAAATGATAAGATAAGTTACTTGTCGACCGACAAATTAGATATTATGAAACATAGTAATGAATGTCATGTGTATTTAATCTTTAACATACTGAAATGTAAAATGTCATATTTTTACCAAAGGTTACACGTAAATATGCCTGTACATAAAAATTACGTGTTAATTTTTGTTACCATAGTGTAAAAATATAATAAGAGTATATAGTAATGAATTTTTAAATATTTATAGTTTATGTTATGAATTCATATCATATTTATTTAATATTTTCCTTAATTAATTTACAAATACAAACAATGTAAAAAAAATGTCAAAGTACAAATTAAATAAATATCATTATCGATTTAAGTAATTCCTTTCATTTTTCCCAAAGTATGTAATCTTTAAAATACATAAAAATAACCATTTACTTTAAATTTTTATACAAAAATATCGCTATTATCTAACTTATAAAAAATTCTTTTAAACGTATTACTTTAAAATTACTAATAATTATGAAATGCAAAAAAACTCTGTTATCTTAAGAAGAACAATTCATTACCAAGGTCTAATAAAACAGGTGTCTGCAATTTTAAAATATTCACTTGCATTTTATAGCGTATTTCAATATAAAGAAATCCGATTATCATAAACATACTAAAACATATGTATAGATAAATTAAAACTATGTAAAAATTAAATCTTTTGAACGTATGTTATCGTAATGAAATAAACGACATGAGTTAGTCATAAAGATTATGACTTGCAACACCCGTTTTTTTCTCGAATCATGGGCTTATCTCGTAATCGGACAGAATCACGAATTCCTCCATCAATTCTAGTTTTAAGCACATTCTCAACTAAATAGCGCATCGCCACATCTGTAACAAAAAAGCAATGTGAACAGTTAAAAGATTCTCTATAGAAATTCATTTTGTTCTATTTTCAAAAATTTTATTTTTCTATTTATAAGAATGTCACGCGTAAGTACAATTTTGCTTGTAATCATTGAATAATTCGTTGCTGTTTTAGAAATACTGTTTTGTAAAAGTTGATTTCAATTTATACTAGATATGCTGCATTTACGTAGAGATACATGGTTTTTATCTTGTGTTTATGTTGTGCGTAATAACAATTCTGAAAGGAGAAAGAAAATTCTATCCAAAATTCCACATCACATACCGTGCAATATGAGACCTTACGTTATAGTAAGAATATAATGCCTTGGTAGTTTACCATTGTTATTGCTGGCTATTCTCGCACAAGAGCATCATGAATGCATTGCAGTTCAGTATAGTAACACCCACAGTAACGAAGAATTCTACTTACAGTTCTCCACACACATAACCTTTCTAAACGAATGTCTTTCTAATCATCTACAATATCAACAGTTCAGAAACAAAGAGACTGCACAAGTGGCATTAGAGTGGTTCTCTCAGTCAATCGATATTTACAAACTTGTTACCGGTTGAGAGAAGAAAACATGAAAGTAAATATTTTGAAGAATAAGCTGATTTTTCTATACATTTATTGCATGTTTTTGTTGCCAAAAAAATGACCGAAAATAGTTATTTCATAAATATTACTCTGACAATAAGTACTGATATTCGACAATTAAATTTTGTTCCTTAACTAAGTTTCTTCCGTCAATACACTAAGCATTATTAATTATAGCAAGCGTTATAACAGTTGTTATACTTACCAACATTCGTATTTTCTTTCGCAGAGGTTATGTACCAAGCACCAATATTATTCTCTTTGCAAAATTTAGCAATCTGTTCAGTCGGTACAACCGGATAAGGAATATCACATTTATTTGCTAAGAGGACTACTGGTATATTCGAACCATCTGGAAGTGTAACTTTTTCCCTTAGATCAGAGAGCCATTTTTTGATTGATTGAAAAGTAGCTATTCGCGAAATATCAAAAACCAAAGCTGCAGCCACTCTGAAAATTATACGTAAGGCTATCAATTTGTACCAGTAGCATGTTATATAGTTTTATATATTAATAATAATTTTTTTTTTATACAAACAAATCTATCGCTTTTTATTGATAATTTTATTATTCATTCTCGAAGTGTTAAGTTAGTACAAGCTAAATATTGGTTGAATGAAGGTTAAGACAGATGCCCATATTTGAATCATACTATTCCTTTATTTCAAGAATAGTGCTAACGTGAGTTATTTTTGATTAATATGAATATTTCTTTTCAAATGTAAAAATTTTTTGATAACACTTACGCATATTTATAATAAACTCTAGTCATGTATCCAAACCTTTCATGGCCAGCAACATCCCTAGCAATCAAAATTAATAAAAATATAGATACATCCTCTATAGATAAATATAAATTACATATATAACATGAATTCTCTCACGAAATAATTGTCACATTCATAAAAAATGTCGAAAATAAAAAAATTTATTTAAACTAACATTAACTACTTAAAAATTTAATTTCACTAGCTATTTCAATTAACATTAATTATTCATTTTATCACTGAATACTAAATTTTTAACAAATATTTTAACAAATATTTTAATTTTATGTAGTTTCAACAACTTTATTGAATGAATATGTAAAAAAATGTACAGATAATGAATCTTATACACAATACCATAATTGTAAGTTTATTTTAGTGATGGGATCCCAGTCAAGTGATTTTATTGCAAAATCGGCGCCTATGGTAATCTTGTAATTCGACGTAAATTTTCCTGGAAAAAATCAAAATACAAGAACATCGGAGCATGAATATATTAAGAAGCAACAAGAAAGAAGTAATCAGAGATATTTCATAATAATGAACAAGGTCGCTTTCTCAAGCCTTAATGAAGAATTAATCAATTATAATGAACGTTATGCACGATTGCCAATATTATCAGCTAAAAACAAGAAAGAATGATGAAAAATATATTTCTTCTTCTTAAATACAATATATACCTCAATAAGAACCTGAATAATTATTTATAGAGACAGAAGGAGCAGATAATATATATCTTTAACTGTCATACGTTATTGAGCATTTTTCGTTTTGTGTTTCATTTAGATAAGTTCGTAAAAGGTTAAGTAAATTAAGGCAAGAGTAAAAATAAAAGGACATTTATAGCAATTATCGAGCACAGGTGTATCACAGACGTTCAAAATAGATGAAACAGCTTGTACAATTACGCTGCTACCTACACTACCGTTCAAAAGTTAAGAGTCACCTGATTCAACGAGACGAGTCTGAAGCTATTGATGTACTATTTTTAATCCAGACAATGATCGCAAGTACAAACTGCAGTATAATGCCACGTGAAGCTTCAATTCAGAACTTTAGACCTAAAACAGACCGTTAGGTTACTTTATATTGGTAAACGTTAACCAAAAATTATATAAAAATTACCTGAAGTTCCAAATGATGAAATATTTGTCATGTTATTATATATCATATATAGAAAATATGAATACAAATTCGTATATCACAACATCAAACATCAAATGATACTTAACTTTTGAACGGCACTGTACCTCTCTTATTAATCCAACAAGAATTTCTTACATTGACACGTCCTTAAATGTTCAAGTAGATCTACCATGTTCCACTGTATCATTCATCATAATTTATTAATGAATAATACTTGGACATGACGTTTTGTGTTAAAGAATTTAATTTAATATCATTAGATAGAATTTTAAATAAAACGTACTGTCAGAGTCATCAAAAGTTACCCATATTCTTTGTGATTTTTTCTCAGAAAAATTTAATTAGTGTAACTCGATCAGTCGGTAATATGCTAACTTGTTAACTGGAAAAGACAATGTACAGTGATGTTTTCAGGAATGGTAGTATTCAGCGGAAGAGCACAGCATCAGCTATAAAAAAGGATACAATTCTCAATTCGCGAAAGCGATCAAATTTCTCCAGTTCGCTCGTGTGACGATACACTACCTTCGATGAAAACTTCTAAACTAAACAAACTCTAACGGTCAAATCCACTTATAAGTAAAAATTCCCATATTTTATTATCAATTCTGTACCATGATATTTTAAAAGGTTATAAATTTAGTGGCTGAAAACGATTTATTTGTAATATTATATTTATGACATTTTAATATGTTAACTATTCCTATAATTTTATATTTGTATAGGTTATATATTATACGTTATAACCATGTTTTATATAATTATTTTCATATAAAAAAAAGGTATATTGAGAATATCTGTTTTTTGATACCTTGTTAGACATAATGTTTTAGAATGTTCAAATACATTATTTTGCTCATAGCTTCGGTAATGAAATATCATTTTTCTAAATCATACTAACTAATATATCCCCAATACAGAGTTAATGCGCGTTTCTAATCATGAGGATTGCATACGCTCCATCTTAAATTTTCTCTTTAGATGAAATATTTTCCAACATCTTGAATTAAATTTGTTATAAAATATTGTACTCAAAAATCTATATCCAGGCATTAATCAATTTTGTTTCACACCGCATTTAAATATAATAATTTTTTCTTATTGCTGAGAGTCTTTGCAATCTTATAAAATTTTATAAGTATAGTGAATATAAATTTAATATTTATAGTTTCTATTTTATTATACTGTAATTTCCCTTGCGACCCTCAAAAATATAATTTTGTATAAAATTATTTAGTATTTTGTATATATTAAATTATTATACTGCAACTATATTTTGCTACACTTACTATAATAATATTTAAGTTTAGTTAATCAAAATACAAATTTTATTTATTTTTCTTATGTATGTTGTTAAAAAAATTATTTTTTATAACGTAGAGCGTATATGACCCACGTGTTATGAACAAAATAAAAAATCAACACGATGAAAAGCATTAAATTACTTTACAGTAGTAGTACATACTAATATCATGTATTACCTTCTGTGTATCTTCTAACTAAAGCTGTTTTCCCTGGAAAAAGAGAAAAAGTAAATTTAGTAGTTTATATTATAAAATTAATTAATTCAACAAAATAAGAGAATTATTGTTGTAAGTAATATTTAATTTATATAATTTTATATTATTCTATTTTAATCTATACAATTTATTATCACTATTCCGTTCGTTATGATTGCATGTAATAAAATTATAATACTTAATGAACAAACTTTAATATCGTTTGAAACAAAGAAAACAAAGAATTTATCGATTTCTGACAAACAAAATTCGAATATTTTTACAATTATTTGATAGAAATTATTTAATTACGATATACAGTATGCCCAGTTTAGGTCAATATATATAAAGTAGCAGTAATAAAGATAAATTGTTACATTTAAAAAATTTATATTAAGATTAGAAAAATTGTTTAAACGAAAATATAAATATTCTATTATATTTCTTCCATGGAATTAAACAATTTTCATATAGAATATTTTTTTGTATTTTTGCAATAATTGCAAAAATGTAATTGCACGTAACACTTAAACCTGATACTGTATACTTTTTGTCTTTGTATTATCATATTCATATTCAGAAAAGAAAACAAGTTTAATTACTTGCGATAGATACTATCATCTTCAAATCACCGGACTTGTCTGATCTAGGGTAAAAATAAATCAATATTACACTCACGCAATGAACTTGTTCGAAATGCAATCGAATTACACTGTCTTTCTACGATTTTATTTTATAATCACCCTTAGTGAATTTCACTGAAACATATAATTTAAAACCAACACACGTGTCCGGTGATCAAAAAACGACATGTTAATCGTACACCATTACATTGCTATACAAGTTTATCGATCAAGCCAATAAGAATAGGTATAACTTTTACGAGAAACCTCAACGTCAATACAAAGAAGGTATCTAAGTACACAGGCACTTAATCTCGATTCTCGAGTCTTTCAAAACTGTTCTTTGTATTTGAATGAGTCCATACTAACGGGTTGTAAACAAGTCGAATAACAGACGACGGTAGATTTTCGAATAGGAAGGAATTTAAAACAGCCTGGACGCACCGACACCATAGTCACCGATTACGAGGAACTTGAAGAGCAACTCCTTGTGGCCGAATTTGGACAGCAGGACGTCCGAATCCCTCCTCGGTTTTCGTGAGTTCATTTCTTTCTCACTAATACGTGTGTTCCGCGCAACTCGACAGTTCAATGGGAGCACGCTCGTGGTCCCCCTAGCGATGATACTTAGTTCAACTGGTAAACTGACAATCGAAGGAAGACGAGAGGCTCGACCTCTGGGGTCGTTTCGAAGCGTCTCTTACCCCGCGATCTGTCGTTGAACTCGCTATCGCCTCCTCCTGTTCGCTCGTGGTAAACACTTGTTTCTCAACCGTTTGAATGTTTGGTCCTGTTCTTAACCTCAATTTTTGACTATTGAATATAACAGTGTATACAACTTTATAGAACACGTACCTTTTGTTCTTTGAATATGTATTGTGAAAGATTTATGAAAGGTTTACTAGAAGTTGTTCGACTTGATAAATCTTAATCCACCTATTGGCAGATTATTGAACTGTCGTAAACATTTATTAATTTTACCTGTCTGTTATATATGAAAGGAACAGTTCATAAAAAGTATGACTTAAAAAAATGTAGAGGTTAAATACAAGGAAAATAAAATTTATTTGTGATTATACAGTTACGGATAGGTAAATTAAATTCTAGTGAGAATAACATCCTATTTTATAATTCTGTATGTATAATTATGACTATTGAGGAAACTAAAGGATTAAGTGAACATATACGAAAATTTCGAACTTTGTAATTAAACCGTAGGTACGTAAATAGATACTTTTACAAAAAATTGGTATTGAAATATATCGTTATCTGATTAGTAAAATATTTATATCGAAACTGTAGTCACTATGAGGTGACGTAGAGAAGTATAGATGTTGTGCTGCTATAAATAAATCGATGCATTTATATTTAAACTACATACGTATAATACGAACGCATTGGCGTCGAGACGTTTAAACCCGCAGTTTACGTGGGTACGAGAAGATTTCGCGCCTTTTTTCAATCGCGTTAGATTAGAAATATTGCTATAGTTTTTTAAATGAATAATATCTTTCAAAAAATTTTGAGAATGTGGCAAATTACGAATTTTTATAAAAATATTATAAATAAGATTTCTACAATTTCTACCAACATGTGATTCTTGCAGAGACCAAGACAAACACAAAAAGTTACTCTCTATCTGTCGATGCACGATCACCTTATCAAATAAATTGGGATATCTCATTATAATAGAGACAGAAATGTTTGCCGCCTTTGATTGTATTCTGAAGAAAAAGGCTAAGTATTGAATTTCTACCATATCGCTCTATATACAGTTGCAATAATCAGAAGATAAAAAGAAGTTGAAAAAATATACAATTGTTCCAATTAGTGGAATATCTGTTATGGTATTTATGTTGAGAACTTAACCCATTTATAGTGTTTTTTGAATTTATTTTAAGGTAGATGCGTGAAAATCTCACTGACGTATTTTCTCGTCATCTGATTCCTAGTAAAAAACACGGATAACATATATATACGACGCCAATGGGTTAATGTTGGTGTGATTTCCTTCGTGTGTGTGGCGTTAAGTGGATGACACGGTTTAATCTGCCTTTAGTATGCAAGTGTGCTTAAAGATCTTAACGAGGAAGATCGCGTTATAGGTGTGGTGTTCTGTTGTGCGTCTTGTTATCGAGTAACAAAGAACTTGCAGAGAGCTGGTAATAATATGTTGAGATGTGAATTCAATGTATTTCTTGGTACTTAATGAGTATGATTATGTGTACTTGTTTAACAATAGATTTTTAGCTACTATTGTATTCCTACAATTTTTCGAAATGAAAATGGAATTTTATATTACGAAATAGGGAGTAACATGATACTTTTAGAAATTGAACGTTGACTCTACAGTATAGTGTGGACAGTGATAAGAAAAATACAGAATTCTTTGCTATGTTTAATATGTTATATTTCATTGAAATATGTTTATTGAAATGTAACATATTTATATGGTTAACATGGATTTCATTAGTATGCTTTTAACAAAATGTTAATAAATGTATCATGAACATGCTTACGATGTAAAGTTTATTTGAAGTATAATCTTTTTATCAATTTACAAATATTTTGATTATTAAGTTCATATAAAAATTTATTCGATTTTATAGCAAAAGCATTTCATACCTTCTGAGGAAAGTAATTAAGATGTCAACCAAGTTCTTGGATTGTGAATAGTCAGTGTATTGATTTCTTCAGCAGTGAAACCCTTTAGCGTCATTTTCGGTATGACGTTGTTCAAGATATGAGAAAATCCATGTCCACCAAATCTTATCTTTCATGCAACAGAAAATATAAACTAATTAAAATATTATTGATAAAATGTCTTTATCATATATTGACATGCACTAACGTTAGTATACTATATTACATTGTTTTTAATATTTGATAGAACCAACAGTTCGATATATTTTAAGCATTTATTCTTTTTCATTTCATTTACGTTTCTTTGGAAAGTCATCGAAAGTAATAACTTTTATGCATCTATCTAATTAACGATGTATATATTATTTTGTTCTATTATCTATTGCGTAAGTGTCTACTATAATTAATTGTGTAAGTACTATGTAAATGTCTCAAGTAATTTATTTACTTCCTCACTTTACAATTTTTTATTCCTTTATCGCAATATTTATACACTTATTGCCTAGATCGAATAATTATCCAATGGTCTCTTGTAAGATAAATTTTGTAACAATTAAAAATTCGATAAAAATCAACTTGATATTGATCAATATTATAATATAAGCAGCAACAAATTTCTTCATCGATTACCCCTTCTTTTTATAGTTTATACTTCGATGATTTTGACATGTATGTATTTCAATTACCCGCCATTTTTTAAAATTCCTAAATAAAATTGCAAATAAAATCTTGTATACAAAACTTCTTGATTAACCGAATATAATTTTTTGAAATCTCGGAAAATACACAAAAATGAAGGATATACCGATTAATGTACGATACTTACCAATCTGTGCTTAGTATGAATGTCGTGACTCAAGAGCACACGATCCAACTTCTGGTTGCCTCGGAAATGTTTTATTCGGTCGATTCGTTGTGCGTCGGACACCATATCCACTGATGGGTTCAACTGATAAAAAGAACATTCGCTTCCAAACAGATCGAATTGGCAGTAACATTTTGTATCATCAGCAAATTCCAAAAGCTGCTCTGGATTAAGTATAGTTCCTGCCGATTTAAATTTCAAATAGTTAATAAATAAATTTTAAACTTCAAAGCTGAGAATCTAATAGTTTCTATATTAATAGAAAACTTTTAGCATAATACATCTGGTACATTCACGTATGCATGCACGTCCGTAGTAACGTGTGCCTTAATCGATTATTATTAATCTAACCTATAAATGTAGCAATGAAAAAGACGTAAAATACAATTTTTGATACGAGTTCAAAATAGAATGAAAAACAACAAAAGCTGTTCAAAATATCATTCACGTGTTTGATAACAATGCAACCATTGAACTTATAATGCAATAGTGGTTAACGTTTTACAATGTAGCCAAAAATTTTAAACAACAGTATACAAGCTGGATTGAGTATTGCATTAAGACAAGTCATTCAAGATAAATGAAAAAATGGATCGTAATGGATTTCGTATTTATTCATAAATCTTTTTGTTTATCCTGAATTTTATCTGGTTGAAATACAATTATACATATATTAGAGACAAACATTGTTCACGTTTAAAGATAACACACAAACGTCTCAAATGAAAATACGCTGGAAAGAAAATAACAAATTTAATGGAGAAACGAAGAAAGACGTTAAGAATATCGTATACATTTTTAAGAAAATATTGCAAATACCAACTAAATATTTTGATTCTATATGAATATTTCATCATTATCCAAAGTTACATAAGTAATAATAGTAAAAATAAATCTTAATTGCTATCGCGATTTCCAATTTTGGTAATTTTATTAGTTTCTACATTGAGAGATATATTATATGTTATTATTTAAATAACAAAACCAAAATAAAAATAAAAAATTATTATGAACGAAAATAAAAATTTTATGAATAAAAATTTAATATATTCTATATTTACGTATTGTGAATATATATATTTTAATCCTAAATTAAAAACATTTTCTTCTACTCGATATACTTCCCGAAAGATTTGCACTAATTAAAGTGGATAATGAATTTAAAACTATCCTATATACTCTTCTTGGCCAGTAATTAATTACTATCACCCAACGACATCTAGCGGAATAAGTCTGTACTAATTATTTATCATACTGATGGTAAATTGGTAAACTTTTCTCTAACGAATTATGTGCAGTTCATTCTGTTTATATATACGTCTTCAAATTTTGGAAAATTAAATCTTATATTTTGATGTTTAAGTTTTATTAGTGTAAATAATATAAAATAACAAAGTATCTACACAATGAGGAACCTTCGAAAGCCAAATCTTCAATGATCTACATATGCGTATCGAGTGACATATCCTGTTCATATACGATTTATTGAATGATTCTGATTGGTATTGCCTAGGTAACCTCCGAAAACTACTTATATATCACAGACTTTTTTCAATTTCTTTAATTGTTTTTATTCTTTTGTGAACGATAATATATATCAGATAAAGATATAAAGATATAAAGATTATCTATAGAGATAATGTGGTGATTCGTTACGTAGATGTTAGTTGAGAAGTAATATTTAACAATATTGAATCAAACATACGATCGAGATGAGAGAGAATCGCCTTTCTCGTATTACCACCAGCTTCTTGATAAATTCTTATTATTTCAGAAGGTGCAGCAGGATCTCTGCCAGGATGGAAACTAACAGGGCATTTTAATTGATCCTGAACCTCCGCAGTTGCTTGAATGGCCCGTTTCTCGAAAGCTATTTAAGCAAAACAACCTATACATTTAATTAAAGATATTTGAATTAGATCGAAAAGTAAATTTTACTATGATTAACTAAAAGTACTGAGATTTTAAAGCATACTTTAAGAAGACTTTAAAACCAAAAAGGTATATTGGAATATTAGAAATTCGTTATACAAAGGAATAAGCAAATATCGATAGTCGTCTCAAAGAATTAATTCTTTCATAATGTGAATCTACAATACTGTATAATGATAACATAATATAGCAATTTCATTATATAATATTTTCTCCTACTTAACCAAGAATCTTTTCTCGTCTAATAACATTTAATAATATATAATAATATTCAATAATAATATCTTTTTACTGATTTGAGAAAGATCACTATTAATTTTATATTCAAATGATGTTAAAAAATTATAAAAAATTGCGAAAAATTAATTTTATAAACATTAACCATAAATTTGAAAATTTTACAGAATGATATTTAATGTGAAATACATACGTGTGATTGGCCAAGTACTTCCAACTTCTCCGATGAATCCCGCTTTCACGTCTGGACATTCCTCGCAACCAAGGGTCATTTCTTTCAGTATTACATTGTACATATGTTCCTTTGTTAAAACCTTGTTAGCTTGAGTCGCACTGACATAGTAGCCTATCAATTATCAATATCAAAAAAAAGAGAAACGAAATGAGATCAAAATTATGGTAAGATATATCAAATATTTGATTCATATTTTTTATTTTTTACAATTATTGAAAATAAGTCGTGTAATATACTATATTCAGACACATATTATAGATCGAATGTATGCAGTAATATATGGAAGTAATGTATTGAAATATTGAGAAAATGTTTACCTGTGCCAGCAATAATGTTAACTCCGGTCGCTTCGCTGACTTTTTTCATAAACGGAATATTTCGTTTTAAGCCATGATTACTATTTTCTACGATAGTGCCACCACCAAACTCTTTATACAGTTTCACATCCTCCAAAACAGCATCCTCCGTGTGCTGGTCGTCAAACGTTAAATTATAGAAGCTGCTATAACTATAAAACAACAATTACAATCTTTCAATACATTATTTAAATTAACACTATAGTTATATTTTTATATCGTGTGTAAATGTGTATATATATGTGGGTAATTAATATAATATATTCTAATAATTTATTCTCTAAATTATTCTAATAAAAGGATACTATGAAAACTTTCATATTTGCAAACAAATATATTTGTTTGCAGACATTGTATATTGAAATATGAAGGACAAACAGAAAATAACAGAGTTTCATTCATTATACTTACGGATATTGCTTCAGAAAACCACTACTTTCAAGCTCAATCTTGTCATTAAAAAATCGTTGCAACTGAGACGGAGGAGGAACGTAGAAAGCAGTGAAAGACAAAGATAAATGCTCGTGTGTAAGAGTTCTTCCAAGTTGATTAGATTTTTTCTTTCCAAGAACTTAAAAAATTTCATAAATAAGGAAATCGCAATTTGTATGGCAATTTAATGATATACGAATTATTTACAAACAGTAAAATAATAGATGTCAATATAATAAGTGCTGCAAACAAATTTTCTAAGGACTATTACATTGAAAAAGAATTCTCAAGAAAGAAAGAAATTCTCTTACATATATATTATATATGGATAAATAATATTATTAAAATGATATTAAATTCAGTAAATTAATATTAAATGACTATTAAATAAAATAAATTAGTATTAAATAAGAGTATAGCATAAATAAAAGTAAAATAGTATTAAAAAAAACATTCCAATTAATATAATACTACAAGCATAACATAACTCTAATCTTAATGATTTTAAAGAAGAAATGGCCTAAAACTTATAAATCTATTCATTTATTCAAAACATTAAGCCTATCAGGCTTAAACATTAAGCTTACCAGTTTCTACATAAACAGCTGCGTCCGCCATGCTTCACTATAATATGCAAAATATTTCCGTTCTCGTTCGAATTTCTCAGCTAAACAAAACCATCGAACAGTCTCTCCCTGAGACAAGTATACTAAAAGAATACAACAATCCGTATGTACACACGCGATAACATGATAAGAAAAAGAAACATAATAAGTACCGTATGAAATTTCGTAGACATAAATAATAGTAATTTTCCGTTCGCAATGAAGATCTTGAGAGTTTTGTCAACATAAAATGTCTATCTTCTTCTTCTACTTGCGATGTACTAACACAGCAGACCGATATACATATGCATACATAATCTGAGTTAGATAAAAATAGTAGCTCTGACATTTTGAAGTGATATATGACTTTCGTCGAGATTGCATATCTCATTGTACAATATCTTCTCTGATGTACCTATCACCTGTATCGTTCAGCGAATTTTTTTTATATCTTTAACGTTTTTTAAAAAGTTTGACAGTAAAGAGTGATAACACTGTACAACACGAATTTTAATATGTAATATGCATCAGGTAATCCTTATAGAGTTTACTTTCTTGAACACGAATCACCCTCAATTTTCGAAAATTGAGTTTTTCCAAAAATGCATGATTTTTGGCTAAAATAAAGTATTACGCAAAAAGTAAAAATGGAAGATTTATTCTCATCTTATAAGTTAGATAGGAGTTCATTTTTTAACTATTTTATATTAAAAAGTCATTCGTATTTGTGTCGAATAACGAACCTGTTTCAAGTGGCAAGTGATTCAGAGAAGTTTCTTATAATTTTACGATCAGTATAAAAGAGTACATGAAAACAGGAAAATCACCTGTTGGATATTACAGATTAGAGAAAAAGTTAAAATTTTGTTGGACAGTGTAATCATACTGCAAATATTCGAGCCCAGGATATATATTAATAAATAAAATATTAAATAACGTTTAAGGTAATAAAAGTCGTGAAACGTAAAAATGTAATTATAACATATAAACAAAATGCATAATTCTTTTGATACTTATTCAAAGATTAATCGTGGATAATTTATAAATCTTTCTGAATTAAAATGGTTTGGATATCGAGTCATCTAATCAATGGATGTAGAAACTATTCTCTATTAGATGTCGTCATTTTTATTGCTTCGTTGTAATTTTGTATTACAAAAATTCCTCCTTCTATCATTTTTATAATAGCTCGAGCTAAATGATATTTTCGTATTTTTTTTTAATAAATACAACTTCACAGAAAATTACAAATATTTGAAGAACTTAATTACTTAAAATACCAGAATTCTTAAAAATTATAATAAACTTGTATTAATAAACATAAGTTATCTCTCACGTGTTGTAATACAATATGTAAATAAATGATAATAATATTAAAACAAATGAAATATTTATAGAAGCTCGGTGTTTTTTTTTATATACAAAGGAAAATTTTTTAATATTTAATAATATTAAATATTAAAATAAATAGTCGAAATAAATGTAAAGCGAAATATAAACTTTTATATATAGGATAACTCATGCAACTGATACAAATCATAGATCTTTCCTATAATTGATAAAAAATATAAGAGATAATAGAGGATGTTCCAATCAAGGAGGTCGAGAATACAGCATTATGTATCCCTTACATACTATATACATACTATATATATACGTATAACGAGGAAAAATGAAAATCTTTAAAACAATAATTCATGAATTAAGAATTAATGAATTCTCTAAATTATTATAAAGAAGAACGGTAATTTACAGAATTATAAACTCTTATTTGGTAAAATTACTTTCTTCATAAATAAATATAAAATTTCTTTCTTTTTTGGGATAATTATACTTCGTTTTCTTTCATATTTTATCACAATTTTAAAATTAATATTATATTGCTAAATTATTAATAATGATAAGGAATATAAGGGAAGTATAATTTTTCATTATTGAAAATGCAGGTAAATAAGTATGTTATTAGAAAGAAACAGACTTATATTTAAGAATTATTCCTCTTTATTTTGGATATCTTTTATTATTAAATGCCAGGATTATTTAAATAAATGTTACAACATTTCATCAAAAAAATAAATAATTAAAGAAAGAAAGAAAGAAAGAAAGAAAGAAAGAATGAAAGAAATAAAGCTTCATGGAAAATAATAATTGTACTTTAATATATTTATTTTATCACCATAAAGAAGATACTTCTTGCTTATCTTTTATTCAAGATTATTTTTCATGAGACGTGCATTAAGAATGCAATGGAAAATTTACGAAACAAAATTCGAACTGTTTTTTTTTTAATTTCAGCAATGTTTATATTAATTTTTTCTTTTTTATATTTTGCTATACTAAATTAAGATTAATTACAAGAAGTATTTATTTTCGAATTTCTTAACGTTTTATAACTTAAATAAAAAAGATTAATTACAAGATTTCTTATTCTTATCATTCATTTTATCCAAACATTTACATTAATAATATTCATTACACACTTTGGAATACTTTAATAAATTATATCTCAAAATATAATAAGAAATTTGACTAATTACTTAACTAAAGCTAACGATTTCAAAACTGCTACTGTCACTTTAATTTTAATTATTTTAGTTATTTATTTTACATATACGTTATTCCTATAAGATAAAATTATTATTTTCATACATTACGTATTCGCTAACTCTGTAATATTTGACACCACACGCTCGCATCATAAATTCATTGATAATCTTGTAACATATAATGAGCAGTAGGTACATTCCAAATAATCTGTAAAGCATTTCATTTAAATATTTGTAAATAAATTTAAATAAATGTTGCTTATTTCATATTTTTGTAAGAAATATAAAGTTAACTGAAATCACTAATTCAAAATATGATTATACAATTAAAATAAAGTAATAATTTATTATATCTTAATTAATTATGTTTAGTATAACATTTATAATTTAATTACTTAAATTGTTTTAAACTTAGTTTACCTGAAGGTGTAATTGGAAATGCAAAAGTATCAAATATATGAAGATGCATTGATTCAGAAGAAACACTATAATTTTAGACTTGATTTTTGTTGATAATTGTTTTACATATTTATCTCATAAATAAAAATAAAAATTAAATTATGTAATACAATTTACTATAGCGTTATATCTGTGATCAAAGTTCATCATTTCTTATCAAATGCTACATAAAAATACAAGTATATGATCAAATTTAAAAAAAAAGGAAACATTAAAACGAAAATCTATTGCCCAGAAAAAGTTCAATTTCAATATTATAATTTTATAACTAAATCATATTCACATTAATCATTACTTTATATAACATAACAATAATATAACTTAAGTGAAATGTATATTTAAAATGAGTACAACGTATACTGAAAAAGGAATTTAAAACAAAAATTTTAATATATGAATTTAAAAATGTAATACATTTATATCAGTTGAAATATCTGTAGGAAATACAGATTATCATAATCATCATCAATCATTATGAACCATGACAGATATAAATAAAGAAACATACTTTGTGTTGCAATTATCAGCATCAATTAGCAATTAGCATCAATATTATTGAGAATTGGATTTTTAAGAGATCAATTTTATACATTTTCACAAAGAGCTTCATCCATTAATTTAAAATATATAAAGTATTTGCGTCATTAATTTAAAATAATTAAACATAAAAATTGATCAATGTCCAAAATAGTGAACATTAATCATTGCTTTGGAAACATAAGCGCTTTCTAACAAAAGAAATTGTTAATGTACTAGCCGCTCATTAAATACAATGAAACACATCGGTGATAAACTTCTTACCAATAATTTTGTAGTGTTAAAATCATAAAATAAGATGAACAATAAGATAGATAAATACAAACTATCGAGTATAAGAAATTGAAGAAAGTAACGCTTTATACAAAGTGCAGGCCTTTATTTTGCACGTACATCCGTTTGCAACGAGTAACACGACAAAATTCCTTACGATAAGCTCAATTTTTCGATTCTATTCACTGCCATTACAAGGATTACGTAGATAAAGCAAAAACACCGCGGGGAGGAATTATAACGTTTCGTATAATCTCTTTGTACAATGTTATTCAATGTTAATCCATCTATACGATGTTTTTCCCTTTTTGTTTCTTTCATGTTCTTTACAACTAAAAAGCGTACTGAAAAGTTGTAGGCAACAGTTACGAACGAGTTAGAGAAAGAAGAAACTTGAATTATTCGTTAAGACAGTCGTGTTACTTTCGTTTCCTCAAGTGCGAAAAAAAAAAGAACATAAAAGAATGATAAACGAATAAATAAATAGAATGAAACGAAAAAAGAAATGTTAGTATTGTGAAAACTGAAACGAATAAGCGTATCTCAATTCGAAGCCTGCAAAAATGTCGAATATCTTTTTCCCAAGGAACTTTTTAATTTCTTTGGTTGATTTACATGTAAGATAATATTTTAATTATCGATCTAAATATAATTTATATATCTTACGTAGCAGTAGAAATAAACGTAGATGAAAATGAAAAAAGAGCAAGTGGCTTAAGTTCCCTGTTCTTATGTACAATGTTTGTAAACACTGTAAAGTCACAATTTCTCGACTTTTCGTAGAAATTATAAATATAAAGAACGAAAAATACAGTCACCTTCGATTTATTAAATTTTAATAAATCATTAAAATTTGAAACTGCTTGTAGCGTAAAAATTTAACAAATAAATAAATTATAATAAGAAGATCAATGCTTATAAGCGATCGGCAGGATTTAAAAATTGGGATACGCTTAAGTTGAAATAATAAGAGAGACGAGATGCCGTATCACATATACGTATGCTTATATATTATATATATACAGATTTCAGTCGGCAATTCGTCTATTCTTTTTCATTCTCCCCCTCCCCCCTCTATCTTTCTCTCTCGCTCTTTCTCATTCTGCCTTTATTCCTGTCTCTCTTCTTCGAATGTATACAATATAAAATGCTACGATCTTTTCGTGCAGTAGTTCATACAGTACGTATGCATAAATCATTTCATCATTAAAATGCATACCTTTAGGTAGAATTTGGTAACACAATAACGCATCGTTAACGCGTCTAATATACGGCACATGTATTTTCTTATGAACATGAACACCAGATACTGTCGTGAGAACATATTGTGTCGCGATAAAGAGATTCTTGTCGTATTTAATCAAATAATTCGACAGTTAAACGAGGTCTCCGAAAAGTCTATGACATATTTACACTAGATCGTCCAATTTATATCGAAGAAAGTGATCATTAAAAACATCATGCGTTTACATCGAAATATAAGAATCGATAAAACATTCAACAGACATAATAAAAGGAACTGAATTACATGACATAAAAAAACAAATTGGACATATTTAAACCACGCCAGAAGTAAACTGATTATTAATTATTGTATAATAAGTTCATGAACATAGAATGTATTCAAAACAATACCTAGATTTCTCATCGATAAAAGTATAACATAGACTTTCAGGATATTTCGATAAACACTCGCAAGTGAGAGTGATGATAGATTTTTACTCGCTTACGGTCATCGAAATTGTCTAGATTTATTCCTCAGTAACATCGCGTATGACACGGATTGTCCATGACGAAACCAGTTCCAAGAAAATTAATCCATCGATGACTATTTCACGACGAGAATTGCACGATCGTCCAATGGCCACTAACATGGCCAAAAATATTTCTTTTGTTGTTTGTTTGTTTGTGATCACTAAATAGCAACGGTAATTATATGAATAATAGTACTGATAGCACTAATGGTGATAATAATATTGATAATATAATAATAATAATTTACATGTATACTTCCTCATACTTATTTACTCAGTTAATTAATTATATTTCCTATCTACTTACGGCATGCTTACGTTTACACTCGCACATACTTCAACGCAATAGAGTCTATACTCGATCGTAGATCCTTAACGAAAGTGTTTAAACACTTGAACATATATATATATATATAAATTCTCTCTCTCTCTCTCACTCTCACTCATACACACAAGTTCTCTCTCTCTCTCTCTCTCTCTCTCTCTCTCTCTCTCTCTCTCATGTTCTCGCTCTCACTCTCTAAGAATATTAATCATTCAAAAGTATCTTCTTTTCTTTTCCACAGATGTAATAAAAAATAAACGAATACGAACTAGAGGATAGAAGACAGTATTTTTTTTAGTTTCTCAAAAAGACGTACTACTAAGAAACTAAGAAAAAGATATAAATATTAAAGGTCTAATAATAAAGCACTGCTCAGACGAAATTAACGAGTGCACGCGAAAGTATGAATTCACAATGAGCTAAATTAGTTGAAAAATTGATCGAATCGATCAATAAAAAAGTAAACAGTGACGCGCAATAATGCCTCATTTTATAGCAATCTTGCACACAATAGGATATCTTCATAAGCTATCGTCGCTGTCATCGGCATGAGCTTCAACAGAGACATTTGCGGCGAGCACCGCGGCACTTGCTTCTCTATTAGTTTCAATCTCTTGTTCCATTGAATTATTCTGCATTTGTTGTTCGTCTATGCGTATATATGCATATAAATGTTAACGAAGTATCACAATGTTACCAATATTATGAAATTGTTCGTAATAAAGTTTGATCTATGTAAAATTTATACTATATTGTACGAATAATCGTATATTAATTACCTGATTGATTTGCTGGAGATTCTTCATCGCCTTGACCTGGACTTAATATAGCTTCTTTAATTTGACTGACACCCTTTGGATCTAAGTCTGTCGCCCAACTAAAGTACATTAGTGCAAGATCGGTATTACCCAACTTTTTATGTACCTATATGAAAAAAAACGAATTTAAGTAAACACAAAATGTAAAAATGATGTAAAACAAATCATAACAGTACTTACTTTTCCTATCGAATAATAGACTAGAGACTCTTTGGGTACAATATTTTTTAATTCCTCAAATTCTCTAAGTGCTTCCGCATGCCGACCAATTGAGAAGTTAATACTTGCACGGTGAAATTTGCATAATGTATTATCTGGGTCGTTTGTAATTGCAGTGTTCAAAGTCTTTAAAGCTTCATCAGTTTTTTTTAGTGCATGTTGCACAACACCGATATGGCACATTATTGCCGAATTTTGTGGATTAATTTGCAAAGCACGCTGAAAATGCAATTCTGCTAAGCTGTATTGTTCCTGTTTAGAAAAAATTGTTCCTAACCCAAACCTGTAGAACAAAAAAGTATGCATATATTATAAAATTAAGATTATCTTTTTTTATTACAAGCTGATAATTTATAATTTTTTAAATAATCTGCTCAACTAGGTTCCATTTATCTTAAAATTTAATATGAGACACATTTAACTACATATAAAATTTTAACAAAATGTACATTTGTAATTTAACAAGACTTACCATGCATTATAATGTCTAGGATCGAGTCTGATAGCATTACGAAATGCAGTAATTGCTTTATCCAATTCTTCTGTCAGGACATATTCATGGCCAAGTAATGTATAAGCATATGGAAAATTAGGATCTACCTATATGGGAAAAACAAAACTTTCATTTTAAGTGTAATCAGTACAGAATTATTATTGTTATATCAAATATATAAAATGAAGATTAAAATTAACATTGATATTAAAATATACAAATAAACAACATACTTGTATAGCTCTTTGAAAGAATTTGATTGCCGTTTCATGTTCCGTTTGTGCAGAGAACAAATTTCCAGTAGCGCACCAAGCAGCTGGAGAATTACGATCTTCAGAAACAAGTTCTTGTGCAAGAGTGGAAAGTCTTACTTCAGCGTGCAAATGCCACAAAACAGTACTATAAATTTCCATAAGTTCAGTCCTTTGAGGTTCCAACTGCCTCACTTCGGCAAAATAACTACAAAATATACTAGATTAAATCTTATTCATTAACTAGAATTTTTAATTTTGTAATTTAGTAAAAACCAACCTAGCAGCTTTTTTGTAATCTATCATTTCAAAATGTGCACGAGCCAACATAGATAATACCCATCCTGTATTATAATGTTGTGCTGGAAGAACACTTAATATTTCAACTGCTTGGGTACAGTTAAATTGACTTAAATGTTGATATGCCAATCCTAATTCTTGTAGTAATGACATTAAACCCTCTAAAAGAGTACATAGTATACAGACCATATTTAGAAAAAAGAATTTCTATCCAAATAAAATTATAGTATTAACAACATACCAGCACACTGTTTCTGCAGTGTTACTGCACAAACGTTAGTGTTACTTTGACTGTTTAAAGCATTTACACTGGCAATAGCTTTTTCTGATGTTATCGTTTCCGTTTTTTCTTTCTCGTTCCGATTTCTTTCATTTAACTCATTAAAATTAGCTTTATTTAAGTTAGTTTTTGAGAGTCTAGCTTTTGTTTTTCGTGATGGAGATTTCGGAGTGGCAAATTTATTTCTATTTGGAGATTTATTATTTTCCTACCAAAAAAAATTATTTCGTATGTTTTCATAATACTTATATAATCGATAATAAACCATTTTTATAAAACAAAGAAATCTACCTTGACTGAGTAGCTATGACTGAAGAGTCTTGATGAACGTCTAACATTGGTACCTTGTAGCGTTGGTGATGCTGGTGTTGGAGTAGTAGGTGTAACTGTTACAATATTGGCGCTATTACTTGTATTTCCTGATTGTGAAAATACTGGTTTCCCTTGCTGTAAAGGAGTTTCTTTTCTTGACATTAATTGCTGTAAGTTGAAATATTTTACATGTAATCTAATACATTATACAATATGCATTTAAAAATATAATCATTGCTATTCAAATCTTACCCCTACGTGAGCCCTTAAACTACTAACACGTTTTGCTAGACTTTTCTGATCATTAGCTTCTGTAAGAGTAGTATGTGAAGGTAAAACTGTTGGTTCAGGGGTATTGCTTTCCAATGGTAAAATACCAAAACTTGGAGTAAGAGGGCTCATTGTATTACTGAACATACTACGATACCGTGGAAGTTTTGCTCGTGGTGATACTGAAGAACAATTACTATAATGTGTAGGTAAACTTTGTGGACTTTCCTCTATAGAAGAATATAATCGTATACCAGGTCCAATACCATTCATTATAGTTGATGCTGTTGTCATTTGTGCAGGAGTACTAGAAAATATGTGTAATACAATAATACAATATGAAGATATTTATACACCTTAACAATTGCATACTTACACACTAGTGCCATTTGTGGTAGGTGTACCATTTGAATTATTAGTAGGTACAATGAGATCAGATTCAGTTATATAAGTGGGAGTAGGTGTACTACCATGGCACATTGCAAAATTATCTAGCTTATCTAACTGAAAAATTTTTGTAGGATCTACTACTTCACCAACATTACACAATTCTTCAAATGAATGCCAAAGAAATGGATTTAACTTTAAAGCTAATTTATGTGCATCGTTTCCTTTTGCAGTACGCATCATTTTGTAATATATCTTAGCTATAATTTGCAGTGAAAAGCATGCATGTTCTCCAAATTGAGTTGCTATTTCTTCCAGATTTTTTAATTGCTTATAATATCCCCCAATTATTGCTGCTTCTGCTTCTGCATATCTAAAAATTAAAATATCAAATTATACAGTTACATCACAATAATAAAATGAAACAATTTCATACTTACTTCTCTAAATCATAACAGCATTTGGCTAAAAGAAATCTGCACTGTGCAGAATTTAAAGCTTTTTTGGAAAGTAATGCATAAGCTTGTCTAACTTGTCCTGATCGATAATAACATGTTGCCAAAAGAAATAAAGTTTCTTCTGTATCAACTACAAAATGTTTAAAATAATAATATGATATTATAATTAAAGGATGCAAAGATAAGTTCAATGTTATAAAAATTGCATTTGAAAAACTTGCCTTCTGCACACAACCTTTCTGCTAAAAATATTGCGTCTGGATAAGCATAATGATTTAAACAATGCCATATGGCTGCCTGTAATTATATACATCACAATATATTGACCCAAATGTGTACACATTTAATAATGAAAATATTGAATCATATTTTCATAAAGATAAAAGTATTTACATTCTATTTGTTGTTAATTTCTAATATATAAAGTAACATGCTAATACTTATAAATATTTATTGATTTAAATATAAAATATAAAAAATTCATGAACGTCATAAACGCTTATACTTATTTATAGTCATATCCCCTCCCGCTTACATCCATTTCGCAAAAGCAAACAACCCTAAAGAAGTTCACCCTCGTATAAGAATATATTTAATATAAAATGAACTAAAACCCTGATAACCTGATAAACGGTATAATACTATGAAACGACAAAACATCATAAAACATTGCACAAAACTCAAAATCAATTTTCTATTGAATAACAAACGTATGTGTAAACGGTTTTAATTTCTCATGTCAGTATCAATAAGTGTGGATGCGCCCGGACAGAAAATCGCACGTCACTGGCAACTTCTTATCAAACTATATTAATTTTACCTGTACTGGCTCCTGTACAATCATTGTTCACACGGCAGGCTTGGTCATATAAGAATAATCTCGAACGTTTCAAGAAAATTTAATCAAGAAAATCCAAAGTCGAATGACTGCTGTGTATAAAAATTTCTTAGGAGTCCATCTTTGCTCCGATTCTTTTGAAGTGAACAACTGACTTCAGAACAAAGGTTTACCAACATTCGAGAACTATCAATTCTACAAGAAATTGACAGTGTATTCTTACAAGATATAGCTATTTTGAAGAGTTATATACCTATTTTAATAGATAATTTGTTCTACAAATATAAATTTTTATTAATGTTTCATTTGTTCGATATTTTATTTAAAATTTAAATCTATAAAGAAGATAAGTTTGCGTTGCTAATTCGCAAGTATTTAAACATAAAATTTTTACCATAAGAAAGATTATAAAACTATTATTAATTATAAATGTCTATATCAACACAGGATATTGTTCATGGTTATTATAAATATATTTATTATATTCTCATATAGAGTAATATTATTTTATTGTTAGTATAATAGTTCGGAAATTTTTAATAGCTTATTATATGTGGTTGGTAACATAACTGCGAGAAAAAGATTTTTTGTGATGAAATATTAGATTTAAAAAATTAAAACGTGATAATGTGTATAGCGATATATACTCAAACGTCCGATGAGTATTAACATAAAATCAAATCGTTGAAATCATAACAATATAATTATATGTATGTGTGCATTTGTAAGTTATTAAACAAAATAATAAGTAGAATTGTATTTTACAGTTTTATTCATAGTAAAATGATATTACATACAAAGGAATAATACAACTAACATATATTGCAAATACATCTTTAAAATTATATTCTAAAAGAAAAACATTGATTTAATTAAGATATTAATAAATTTATCATGTTAAAGTATATTTTTATCATTATTTTACAACTTATATACATGATAATTATGTAAGTATTTATTTATATTCTTATTGATATTAAATCAGATAGAAATGGAATATAAATCTGTATTATATTATTTTGCAGGTTTGTATAGATAAGAAAGTAAGAGTTATGTAAAACTATACTTTATAAGGATGTATTGTTTATTACATTCTTGTTTTCAAACAAGTTTTCACTTGATTAAATCAAAGATCAAGTTAAAGTATGTCTGCATTTGTATTGGCTTTATTACACTGCTTGATTTCTTTGGAGTATTCACACATTTATTTGAAACTACATATGATTCAAATTTTTGTTATCCATACGAAGGTGATATACATGAATTTGTGAATGCCTTACGACATAATGAAAAACCTATTGTTGATCCCATAAATGAATATAATTACACATTTTTAATTCCTAGTCAACAAAAATGTGTAGATGCTGCATATAATACATTTCATGTTGTATACATAGTAAAATCTGCAATAGAACATTTTGAGAGACGATTGGCAATTCGAAAATCCTGGGGCTTTGAAAAAAGATTTTTTGATGTACCTTCAAGAACAATCTTTGTATTAGGTGTACATCCATATGATGATGAACTTCAAGCAAAAGTGAAAATTGAAGCTGCAAAATATAAAGATATTGTACAAATAGATTATATAGATTCATATTATAATAACACTATCAAAACTATGATGAGTTTCAGATGGTTAGTAAAGTATTGTTCTAATTCAAAATTTTACATGTTTGTTGATGATGACATATATGTTTCTGTGAAAAATGTTTTGAGATTTATTAGAAATCCAGCTAATTATCCAGATTATTTAAAAGAGCCTAAAAAAGTTGATGCTCATAAAAGAGAAATTAAAGACAGTGATGAAGAAAAAGATTTAAATAATGATAATATTACACAAACAAGTACACATACTCTTAATAAAAAGAATTTATCGATTTATGAAAAGTTAAAAAGTACATTTTTGGAGGATCTAATTACACAATGCATAAAACTAGATTCTTATAACAAAACTATAAGTACAATTTCTTTAGTCAATTATAGTAGACAAAACTATAATACACAATTAAAATCTGTTAAGAATAAAAGTATAAAAAGTGATTTCACAGTGAATAGAGAAAAAAGACAGGTGTTTGATTTTGAACTTCCAGAAGATGTTAGGTTATTTGCAGGATTTGTAATAGTATCTGCTCCTCATCGTCATAAATCTTCTAAGTGGTATGTTCCTCTTAGCGAATATCCATATCACTTATGGCCACCATATGTTACAGCTGGTGCATATATATTGTCTAAAGAAGCTCTTTTAGATATGTATTATACTAGTCTTTATACTCAAAATTTCAGATTTGATGATATTTTTCTAGGTCTAGTTGCAAAAAAAGCAGACATAGAACTTTTTCATTGTGAAGAATTTCATTTTTACAAAAAAGATTATACAAAATTTAATTATAAATATGTAATAACTTCTCATGGATATGAAAATCCAAATGAATTATTGTATGTATGGAACGAACAAAAGGCCCTTGGTAATGCCTAAGTTTTTCATTATATTCAGCTATGATTGCAATTTCTCTTTTAAAAATAAAATATCATACTGTGAATTACTGAAAAATAATTTAGTATAATTTCAATATTCTTCTATAAAAATAATTTATTATAAAAGATGTTATTAGATATAGCTCCGAGAATAGATAGAAATACAATAATTATATACATAATAAGTGCTTATAAAAAATATAATTGATTAGAATGCTTTTATATAAATACCATATAATAGATGAGTAATATTTAAACAAATAGTTGTAATTATTACTAATATAATGTATATTACATAAAAATTATTATCTCGCGATCTTTATTAACAAAGCAAAATTATATGATAAAATTATTTATGTTAAAAATTGAACTATAACAAGATTACAGATAAAGAAATAAATATATTATCATATGAATATGATGGGTATTTAAAAGACTAAGTTGCAAATTTCTTAAATATTTATAATTAAAAGTACAATAAATATAATTTTTAAATTTATTTGCGATTTTGTTTAATCTTTATTTTGCATTTATTATTGACACTGTTGTTGTTCCATATTAGCTTTAACTAATGTTTGGTTTAAATTCGTAGCTTCTATTTTAATCATATTTAGTAAAAGTTGTGAGCTTTCCAAAATCTGTAATTGTAATAAATTTCATACAAATTCCTATAATCTATATATGTGTGTGTGTGTGTGTGTGTGTGTGTATTACAAATATATATATTATAAATATATTATACATATTTGTCATACACAAGTTATTGATTTAGTTTTCACTTTAAAATATATAGAATAATAAATACACCTTCACATATGCTATTTCTGTATCTGCAATAGTTCTATCATATTCATTTCTGACAGCTATTCTTTTAGTTAAACTATCATTTAAACATGTTAATTTATGAGATAACTTTTCTATTTCTCTCTGCAAATGATTTTTCTCTTCTTCTTGTGATTCAATTTCTATTTGTAGGTCTGTACGTCTCAATTTCATTTCTTCTAAACCTAAAGAAAATAAAAAATTAAGAAAATAATATTTAAATATTTCAATATATAAACTTATAACCTACAAGTTTATAAACATGATTGTAGCGTTTTATATAAAATTTTATCTTCAAATTTCGATATAAAATGGTGTATATTAGAAAAAATTCTTGTTAGTTAAATAAATTATATATATACAAATCTAAATAGTAGGTTATATATACATATAAATATTATTTACATTTTACAAGTTCTTGATTATAAGTTTGCAAAGCAGCACCGTGTTGAGACATTTCAATCGCTCCATACACAAATAATAGGATTACAATATTTCTATAACAATCAATAAACGATTATTTTTCTACTCAAAAATTCACTAACAATTTATTCCAAATAACTAACATAGACAAATCTAACGAAGATTTTAGTTTGGTACTGAATTTGTGACATTATTTTCAACGCATGCGCAATTGTTAATACGAAGTAGATAATTTAAAAATCATAATTGAAATTTGCTTATAATAAATGTAATACCAAAGAATCTATAATTATATATAAAACTTTTAATTATTGTTATACACTAAAATTTTTATTACATATTGCAGATATTTATTATATTATAAAAATATTTAGAAACAGATATTAAATTATTTTATAATGTGATATTATACATATTTATATAATTTTTTTTATATTATACAATAAATTATATAAATTTTTGTTTAGTTCATGAAAACATTGTAATAAAAATGTAATTTAAGTGTATGTCACAAACATTTTGAAATTATTGCAAAAATATTTATTTAACAATTATATATATGTGTGTGTGTGTGTGTGTGTATAACTGTTAAATAAACGAGTAAAATAACATCACCATGATATTAACTTTAACAATTAATTTTCCCGATAATAAAATAGAACTTCATAACATCATTTAATAATTAAAATGTATTTAACAATCATAAAATATAATATTGAAGAAAAACGATGCAACTTTTCGCCTTGCCTTTTAAAGGCGTCACGAAGTGTTTTCATCTACCAAGGTGCAATAAATACACCTTTCGCTCAGAATCTTCACACTAACGTGAAAGCCTCGGAAACGTGCAGAGTTGTTATATTCTACTTACAACTATTCATTATACATGAATTAGTATCTTTTAAACAAATTTTTAGAATCGTTTCGCATGTGTATTTTAAAATTTAAATATTTTGTTGAAGTATTTTGTTATAGTGCACAATGTATCAAATAATACCGTTAATACTAATATGTACTTCTGAAACCAAATATGTATAATGTACCAATATTATTTTACACTTAACCAACGTTTTTTGACGAAGTAGCATCTCTACATAAATAAAAATTAATAAAAATACGAAATAATAATTATATAGAACCAGGATTTTGAGTCTCACCATAAAATTTTCTTTCGACAAATCTCTTCAACATGAATACTTCAGGTATGATGTTTATAAAGATCAATCTTGCTATTTGGTTTATAAAAATAAACAATTATACAATAATTTGTATATTAATTTCCTATATATATTTTTCAATTAATTATAAATTTTTTTTCTTTTGCATTAAACAAATTGACGAAGATTAACATAAATTGAAAAACAATATGTATTTAGTTCCAAGTTGACAGGATTTATGGCGCTTGCGCAAGTGTATCTTTCAATATTATTCTTCAAAATTTTCATAATGTTCAAAACTAAAGTTTTATCGAATGATAAAATAAAGACATACTCCTTCAAAAATACAATGTAATACGAATAAAATAATATAGTATACAATATATATACTTAATTTTGATTTCAATTTTTAATTTCGTTGATTTAATTAATGTATCTTGAATTTTTACTATAAGTAAAAGTTAAATATTTTAATATAAATCGTAAAAAGCAAATATAAGAAAGTAAAAATTGCAAATTAAACAATAGAAATGTTTAAACCAAAAATGAAAATAGCATTTTAAATAATCATATTATCGAGTGAAAATGCATACGACCTTGTCAAATGACATCACGTTACTAAATTAGGCTTCACAACCGTGACAAATGTGTTGTCGCGTATGATTAAAAAATTCTACGACAATTACGTTACTGATCATTTGCACAAGAGATCCTCCTACACTGTTGCTACCACGTGATCTTTAAAAAATTTAATATATGTATATATTCATTATTTTAAGTGATAATTTACCTATATCTAATGTATTACATTTTCCCTATAATAAATATTAATAAATAAAAATAAATACACATACATACATATATATATGATACATAAATAAAAATTGTATATTACTGGAAATGTTTTTATTATAAAAAATATATATGATTTACAGGCAATGCTGAAATTAATATCTAAGTATAAAATCAAGATTATATTTAAAAATTTGTGATATCCTGTTATATCATTCACTATTTATTAAGTAAGTCTGAATTTTATATTTTAAGGTCATATAAAATAAATTTTATTTATTTTAGTATACAGTATTGTCATCTAAATACTGTATAACTATTTAAAATTTAATTGCTTCTTAATTATGTATATATTTATTTTTAATCAATATAATTTTAATTTAATTTATTAATTTTAATTTTAATTTTAATTTTAATTATTAATTTCTTTTTATTTTGATTTGTTAACAAAAAGATATAACAAATTAAATTATTTGTTAAGTTTCTTATATATTTTAGATAAACTGCATAAACTTAAGAATCATAATGACAAATAGTTCAAGGTATTTAGGATATCATAGTAACATAAATAGGGAATATTTAACAGATGGAGATGATAGTCACCGTGCACCATCAGATCGTACAATCTCTGAATATATTGTGTCAACTGATCATACTACAATGGTAATATGTAACTTCTAATTTACAATTATAAACATAATATGATATTATTGATATGTTACTAATAATAGAAATTTATATTGTACATAAAAATATAATGTTCCAATATACATATCTGTATACATATATTTGTGTATAATATAAATTTTGATTTTTAATGCTGTTCATTGCTATAAAGCAACATTCTGCAATGGTATTATGCTTAAATTTGACAGATAAAATCAATGAAAAAAGACCATCCAGAAAAATATGAAAAAGAAGAAGGAAGACAATTACAAAATATACACAATAGTCGTGGTTCTGTATTATCTGGATCTTCAAGACATAGTCTTCATCCTCTTAGTAAAAGTACTTCGCATGGCAGTATATGTGATAATAGTTCAGATATATATGTTACAAGTGCAGCATACAGAGGAACTTCAGATATAAGGTTGTAAATATAACAAAGTATAATATATTTTATATATATGTAATTGGTGTTATAAATATTATTATTTAATCAATAGCCATATATCACATCACAGTCTAACACCAAGTTCAAGATTAGGACATCGTGCACCTAGTCATTGTAGTTATGGTTCTGCAAAGTCAGTAAAATCTCATACATCTAGAAAAGATGGTATTATTATAGAAACTATGTCAACACCTAATCCCTTTTGTCCAAATACCAAAGGAGTTTGTTGTCTCATGTTACTTCTTAATCTTGGTTTAATTCTTGTTACATTAGGTTTTGTTATAGTAATTCAATTTTTTCAACCATTAGTCGTTTGGTGAGTATATATTTAAAACAAGTTATATAATTCCCTTATCTTTCCTTTAACTTCATATAGAAAAATATAAATTTTAATAATTTACACTTTAACTTAATTTCATAAACATATAACACAGAAAAATGTTATTTTTGTGGACCTTTTCAGGATTTTGGGAATAGTATTTCTTGTCTTTGGATTTTTAACATTGATAGGAAGTCTTATATACTGTGTCCATGTATTTCGAAATGCAAAACATCCACATGATATTAATCCAGAAGATCTTTATTGGACACGATATTGGCAAGGACATGTTGGTTCAGCACCTGAAGTATATTACAAGGCAGAAGATAAATATCATGATGATGGATATAGTGATCGTTTGAGTAAATATTCACATAAATATTATGATCGGCAAAGATATTGAAAAAAAGCAGTATATACTTGATGTAAATGTGAACATATTTATTATGTTAATAATTTTGTATACATAATTCATATATAAATTAATTTCAAAACAAAAAATGTATATTGTATACATTAACTATACTAACATATTGAAAATTTAGTTTATGAAACTATATCTTGTATAATAATTATTATTTATTTTATACATATCTTGCAAATTTTATTTTATATGACACATTATCTTTATAAACATACACTGGTAATGAAACCTTACATGCAATAATAAAAATAAAAAATGTATTCAATAATTATATTATATTTATAATTTATTTATAATATGTATAAATTATAGAATACCTTTACCATCCTTTTGCCCTCCCAACTGTATAATCAAATAATTCTTCATTTACAAATTTTCCTGTACCATCAATAAAATAAGAGAAATAATCACCTTGTACTTTTAGTGGTAAGTAATTTATCATTCGTGCTCTTGCAATATCAACTTTTACCTTACAAATAAAAAATACATTGTGTTAAACATGTATCATTTTTATATGAAAGTATTTAAATACACATATAAAATATAAAACAATATAGAACATTCTATGAAATTACAAAAGTACTATAAAGTGAAAGAAAAGTGAGATTATATTATTGTTATTAATACTAAATTTAAAAAAAGATATATACCTTATTAACAGGAACTGTAATAACATGGAAAGTTTTTAACACATGATTAGTAACTAAAGAGACTTTTTGACCACCTTTATGTAAAATTATATATTTTATTACTTTCTGATTAATTTTGTATAAAATTACACTAGAAATAGGTCCTGAAATACAGAAGTAGATATATGAGAAATAAATCTTTAATACATTATATATATTATAACACGTATACAAAATTTTGTTAATTTAAATAACAACTTACAGGCATGATTTAATTATTCTATATTTCAAAAATTGTAGAAAAAAATAAAATAATAACTAAAAATATATAAAAATGTTACCTATTACTATAGCATATCCAAAAAGAATAAAACTGAAACCATGTACTTTCACATATTCATTGAAAGAGTATTTATTCCATGTTGATATAAAGTTTGAATTATAGTTGGTTAAGGCTATTATTATATTACAAATGCACCATGCAAAGAATACTATTTTCAATATAACGAAATCCTTTATATTTTCATTCTTGTACAATATTACATTATTTTGTACATTTGTATTTATATATAATGTGTCTAACCTCTTATTTAGTTTTTCATATTTCCTATATGCAAATAAACATATACAAAAAATGCATTAAAAATTTCTATAAAATATTATTTACGTATTTTATAAAAAATAATTTTTTTTAAAAAGATAATATTTTTTGTATAAATTATATACAATTGTCATATTACCTTGTATTTTCTATTTTAGACATACATTTAAATGAAGAATGGAAAGATTTATGTAATACAGGATTTTTATATTTAGTATTCTGTACTAATGAGTAATAAACAATTCGTATTTTACAAACAGAGTTTGTTACCTTCCTAAATAAGATATTTGATAGCATTGTAATTACAGAACTGACTATACAGTTGAATGTATTTTTATCTATAGTTAAGTTAATAGTCTAAATTATTTCCATATAATTTTATATTATCCAAATTACATTTATAGTATTAAAGCAAAACTAATTGTTATTATTATTAAACAATTTAATTTCATTTATTAAATATATTTAATAATTTGATATACTAATATATTTGAGGTTATGTTATAAAATTTCTTAGGCTAAATTTCTTAGGATAAGGCTTTACCTTATCCTGCGAAATGTGAAATTATAAAAACGTAGGAATTTATTACATAGTTTATGTTTAGAAATATAAGTTAAATATTTGTATCATTCTCATACTAAATTATAATACAAAATGAAAAAATAAAAATTTGAATATAGAAGATGAATATAAGTCTCATTTAAATGATACAAAAAATAAGATTTTGCAATATGAAATATTTTGTTATAGAATATATAGTATAAGATAATTATAAAAGGCTTTTATATATCTAAATTTCAATAATATTTAAAAAAAAATTATAATATTTCATATTTTGAGAATATGTTTTTGATTGAATACATTAATTTTTAAATTTTTTAATATACATATTAAGTCATATTTAATATTCAATGAAATACATTCTTACATTTTAAACTCCAATTACTTATTACATTATATGATTTCGATATTAAAAATCTTTTAAACTCACAAAATATGTATTATTAACATAGTCTTTTTTAAATGTTTTAAAAATTTACATTATTACTTATATTAATCTTTCTTATAATATATTTTAGTTAATTCGTATTAAAATTAACTGAATGATCAATCTGATAATTTTTCTCAGTCTTCTCATGTCAATGAGATTGTTGTCGTTTGTTGCTAAAACGATGTATGCAATTTATTAATTTCTTTTATCCAAATAAATAAATTCAAAATGGGAGATTTCTTAGCATCTAATAATAATTGTGGACAAAATTTATTGCGATTGGTATCGCGGGGAAATGCTATTATAGCAGAATTAATGAGATTAAAGGACTATGTGCCACCTGTGTTTAGGTTATTTATACTTTTATAAAATGTTACAAATACTTTATTAATAAAGCAAACACTAATATTTACTGAATTATTATATTTTAATAATTCTAAAATGTTATTTATAGTATAGTAAATAAATTATATTTTGAATGTATTACTGAATATATTAATTTTCTTTTGCTTTACAGTTTGGATTCAAAACAAATTGTACAAAAATATGGATTAATTATAATTGATTTTGTTTACTTTAAATCTGTTAATACCTATGAACAAAAGATAGAGAGTGATCCAGTAAGTACATAGAAAATAGCAAGATTATAAAAACTTAATACAAATGAATGCATTTACATCTCATTTATAAATATTTTTAAATATTTTATTACATAATGTGTTTTGTTGAAAGTTATTTCAGCTGCGTTAAAAATTCCTTTTATAGGTACTTCAACAAACAGATGAAGAATTACGAAATAATTTTTCTGACCTAATCTCAAGATTTTATTTAGCTTTTGAAAGTATACACAAATATATAACAGACTTAAATTTTTATATAGATGAATTAGGAGATGGAATATATATTCATCAATCTATAGACATAATTATGCTTAACGAAGAAGGAAGACAATTAATGGTATTTTTTGTAATTTATAAGTATTTGTTTTGGTGTTAAAGATATCTTTTAATTATATTACTCCTTATATCTCTGTTAATACAATTTGTTTTTGTTCAACATGTTTTACAAATTTAATTTTACTGTCATATTTGTAATAATTAATGTATGTAATATCATATTCTTGTATTAAGTAATTTGTTTTAACATGGAAGTTATATATTAAACATGTTATAAAATATTATAAATTTGATAATATAATAGTTTATATTATTGCATGAAGCTTTTGAAACATTTTGTTTGTCCATATTAAGAGGAAGGTAATAAACATATTTATGTTAACAGTGTGAAGCAGTATATTTATATGGAGTTATGTTACTTTTGGTAGATTATCATTTTGAAGGATGTATTAGAGAAAGATTACTTGTATCTTATTATCGATATAATGCTCAACGTTCATCCTCTACAAGTGTAGATGATATATGTAAGTTGTTACGTTCAACAGGATTTTCTAAAGTTTCTAATAAACGACCTGCAAATTATCCAGAGGAATATTTTAAGTAAGTTAAAATTCTTTTATTTTGTGTTGCCAATATCTTTTATGTAAAAAATTAATTTGTTAACAGAAGGGTACCATTAAATGATTCCTTAATTGAACATATTATTGGACGTCTACGTTCTGATGAAATATATAATCAAAGCCTAGCTTTTCCACATCCAGAGCATCGTAGCACTGCTCTTTCTAATCAAGCTTCAATGTTAGTCATAATTTTATCATTTAAACCAACTATGTTACATACTCATACAGCTTTAATGAGGGAAATCGTGGATAGATTTTTTCCTGATAACTGGATGATAAGTATTTATATGGGAATAGTAATAAATTTATGTGATTGGTGGTCACCATATAAAGCAGCAAGAACAGCACTTAATAATACTTTGGAATCATCAAATGTTAAAATAATTGCACAAAGTTATGGTCAGAAAATGAAGGTAAATACGTTTTTTATTTTTAACAATAATATATTTCATAAAAGTTTCATTTTAAAGTTGTAAATTATATAAAATTTGATGTCTTAATTTATGTAATATTTATTAAGATATATGAATGTACATATGTTATTTGCTACACTAAAAATTTGTTTTAGAAATTAATTTCTGAAACAGAAGAAGTGCAGTTAGCAGTAACTTTAGATGAGAATGCAATAGGTTCCTTGGTAAAATTAGTAAGGGAATGTAATGTAACATTACATTGGATACTTTTACATACAGCAACATCAACTGTATCATTAGAAGATTCAAAACGTTCGCGTATGCTTAGACAGTTAGTAGTAACTGAAAGCAAATATACTACATCTGATTGTCTACAGTTATTACTAAGTACTGCTCAGATTGAGCAAGGTGTTAAGCAATTATATAAAGATGTACGAATAATAATATTTTTTATATTGTGTGATTATGTGAAAAGTTTAAAAAAAATTTCATTAAATTCGTTTTTACTTATAGTTATTATTTGGCAAAGAAACCAAGTGGCTTAGAGATAAAGGAACATGTGTTGAACGTATAACAGATCTTGCTCAAATATTCGGTGGTAATAAATCACTTGATGGTATTGAAAGGAATCAAAACCTATATGCTTGGTTTATGGAGATATGTAAACATATTGATTCATTGCAACAAGAAGATGGAAGAAAAATAGTACAATTGCTACAGGCATTAGAAGAAGTGCAAGGTAAATATAATAAATGAAATTATAGTTGATTTAACTTTTTATTATGATACTGATATATAAAATAATATTATTTACATTAATTCTAATAATACTTTCAGAATTTCATCAATTAGAAAATAATTTGCACATATCACAATATTTAGCTGATACACGGGAAATATTGCATAACATGTTACGCACAGGAAGCATAACTGAAGATACTATGATAAGTTTAAATATAGTGACAGATTGTTGCTATGCATGGAATGTAATGGAATCATTTATTGATACAATGCAAGCTAGCATAAAAGAAAGCCCTCCTACTGTAATAAAATTGAAAGCACTCTTTTTGAAAGTAAATTTTAAATTAAATTTTACTTAATCTCCTATATCTTAATAAATGGTATTTCTTTTATTATTTCAAATATTTATGTCTAAATTACTTTCAGATGGCTTCTGCTCTAGAGACTCCTTTGTTAAGAGTAAATCAAGCACGCAGTGCAGATTTGTCATCAGTATCACAATACTACAGCAGAGAATTAGAAAAATATGCAAGACGTGTCTTACAAATAATACCTGAAACTGTATTTGGTTTACTTGCTGAAATTGTACATCTTGAAACTAATGCTTTTAAAGAAATTCCTACTAAATTGCCAAAAGATAAATTAAAAGATTATGCACAACTGGATAATAGATTAAAAGTATCTTTAATTCACTTTCTTTTAAAAATATGTATTGGACAAAATTAGATTGAATTTAAATTCCTAATTATTATATAATAATAACTTATTCTAGATGGCTAAGTTAACATATGCAGTATCAGTATTTACAAAGGGAGTGTTATCTTTAAGAAGTGTTCCATTAGGTGTGTTAAAGGTTGATTCTCATCGTCTTTTGGAAGATGGGATACGACAAGAACTTGTAAAGAAAGTAACATTAGCTTTAGATAATGGCCTTGTTTTTGAACCAAAATCAAAAGTAAATTTTAATTTAAATTTATTTATTATAAAAATATTATATTAAAAATTGTTATTAAGAGTAATACCTTTTTAGGTGCCATTATTACAAAAACTGCATAATTTAGCAGCAATCATGGATGGTTATCGAAAATCATTTCAGTATATTCAAGATTATATAAATATTAATAGCTTAAAAATATGGCATGAAGAAGTATGTAGATTCATAAATATTTAATGTTAAATATTGCATATATTTATATCAATATAAATATATACATAATGTATGGCTATTTCTTTTATATTTACAGATAACATATATCATAAGTAATGCAGTGGAAGAAGAATGTGTAGGTTCGCCCTGGACTTCGGAAAGATCGTGGAGATATTTTCAAGATGAAAAACATGTTTCTATTTTGGATAATAATTCTATAACTTTTATTGGTAGACTTGCTCGTGAATTATTTCGAATCACAGATCCCAGGTAAATTTCTTTCTAAAATAATATTTTACATATCTTCTATATTGGGGGGTATTTTTTGTAGTCGTTCAAACAGTATTAATAATCGTAAAAATTATTTTTTCTGTTAATATTCTATGGTATTTTACATAAAATATCATGTAAAGTTTGTAAATAAATGTTTCCTTGTTAAAGAGTTATAAATAAATATTATATGGATGGAATAGGTAACAGCACATTTTTTATTGTATTGTATTTTGAATTCTTTGTGGAAGTTCCTCGTATGAATAAAATATATAACTACACATATCGGATAAACAAAACAATCATTTATGTGTTGTAATGGGAAATCTCAAAGATGAATTGGTACCTATTCCATGTATACAATATTTGTTTATGACTTTCTAACAAAGCGTTTATTTGCATAATTTATATAACATTTTTTTCTTCTTTTAACCTTTAGATTAAGTTGTTGTAGTTTATTGAAAAAAACAAAAAGACTTTATTATATTATAGTATTCTTTTTACAATATTTATTGAAACCAACATTATACGGATAATTATATTCTTTTATTATTATAAATATATTACAAATAAATTAATAATTAGTATTGTTAATAAATGTTTTTATTAATACATATTAATATTTTAACTGTTGATAGTCAAAATTACAAGAATTTATATTACTTTATTATTAAATAATGTATACATTCATATTTTTAGAATGACTGTCTATATTGAACATTCTCTTGCCTGGTATGACCTTAAAACTCAAACAGAAGTAATAAATTATAAAATTTTTTCAAGAACATTGGAAGCAATTGGTACACCTGGTTTAACTGGACTTGACAAACTTATTTCATTTTACATTATTACTGAATTAAATAGTATGATACACTACATAGAAAAAAATATTCATAATAAAATATGGTCATCCACAATTGATTATTTTGATGCGATATTGAATTCTGTGGATATTCCTAGAGGTACTGTTATTCTGTAATACATATTATTTCTATTATATATTTATAGTAAGTTCTAAAATTTATTTTATCAATTATGGATAATTAAATATGTATATTTAGGTAATATATTATCAAAACTTCACAACTCTATTACTACTCAAACAAGTAAATTTTGTCCACAACTGCTTGAATGGGTATTAAAAGTTGGACATTATCAACTACTAAAGAAAAAAATAGCATATGAATTAAATACAGCTTGTAAATTTGAAGCAAAGCATATGGAGGCAGCACTTCGAACATTAAACACGTATGCATAAATATTGAAATATATAAAAGAATATACTGTAAAAAATATTCACATGTTCTTTGTTCATATTAATCTTTTTATCATTTATATTTTTATGATTTGTAGAGCTATATTATTTGAAATTAATAAGCAAAATACTACTGAACAAACTGAAACTGAGAGAAATGAATTATTACATGAACTTAGTATCAGATTAGATTGGGCTGGTATAAGTAATCCCCATAATAATGTTTATATTAAATCACCAAATATAAATAATATTGCACTTATAATGTTTTTACTTACTGTATTACAATTACCCAAACTACATTATTGTAAAAATACAGGTAATTTAAATATATTAAATTTTAATTTATTGTAATATGTAAAAGACAATAATTATTTTTATATTAATTATAAAATAATTGCAGGAAATCTTTTGAGTAAAAAATCTCAAGATCCTCTTGATGCTGTAGTTTTTGTTATTGGAATACAAACTATTTTACGACAATATACATTTTCTGCAATGACACGTTATGTTAAATACCTGTCTATATATGTTCTTTCATGTGTTACCTCAGATAGGTATTCAAATTTTTTACAATATATTTAATATAAAAAATATTTATCATTATATACAATAACATTATTGATCTTTATATGATCTTTACAGCGTAAAAGCAGGAGGTGACGGAGAATCTGAAGGATCTAATACTTTACACATTCTAGAATTATTTACAAAGTATTCAGGTATATCTCGCTCATTTATGCTTAAAGAAATACCTATTATTGTTATGGATCATTTCCAAGCAAAAACTACTAAATAAAATGTCAAGTGTAATACAATTTGTGATTAAAAGTAATTTGTGTTATATTGAAAAATAAAAAAGAACAAATATCTTTTATTTTGTATATATATTCATGTATTGGTCCCTATTTTGTATGTACATGTATTGTGATCTACAACTATGTATAATTATAAATATGTATAATTATTGTGTTAAATGAAAAATAATACAAGTTTATTATTATTACAAATATATATAATCATTTTTTAAATGAATATATTACTTATTTAAATTAATAACTATCTTTTGCTATTATTTAAATGGTCAATCGTTTTATTCACAATTGAAAATATTTAAATGCAAAAGTAAGAAATCATTAAAATTCTTATAGATGATCTATTAATATTCTTATGTAAAATTTTTGCGATTTCTTTTATATTATGATTCAAACAGGTAATAATACATAATTAGCTATTTAGATGTTATAATAAATCGTATTATAAGTAAGATATAGATAAAATAATAAAATATCAAAATAGGACAAGATTATTAATATTATTATTTATTATAATTTAATCGCCTTGAGTTTCTAATTATAATAGTTTATTTTAAAATTTAAATAAGTATTTCATAATGCAGTTCTATCTAAAACGTATAGATATGAAAGTGTAGCACTTCACCACCCATATCTGCACTGGGAATTTATATACGCATTGGCGGCTAAACGCGCTATTTACTGCGACCGCCGGCGATACGGCGCTTTACAAATGATTTTTATATTTTCATTTTAAATTACATTAAAGTAATATTTTCAACTTAGCTACATGTTATTATATCATGTTTTGTATCAAATTATTGTAATTGTATCATATTTTTTACTTCGTTCAGAACAATGAGATAAAATATACAATTTCGTCGGCAAGAACGGCCGTTACTAGGAAATGAGGCGTTAACGGTGGCTCCTTTTCTTTATAAGTTAGGAGAAAATATCATTTTAAATATTTAACAGAGTATTATAGTACTTTAGTAGCATGATTATAAAATAAAAATATTTTTATTATTTTACCTTAAATTTATTTAAATTGTATATAATACTTTAAATAAATAAATTGACTAAAATGTATCATTGATGAACATACGGATCGTTAGAACGCCGTTGACGCCGTCGACGGCGGCTACAACGGCGATGTTGGCGGCCAGCTACAAAAGAGACTGCGATAAACTCCGAGCGCAGTCTTTCTTGTTCATACGTGATGTTACAACATATTCTATTTATGAATAAAATTTAAGTTACAGTTTTTTAAGATTTTAGATAATATTGCTGACGACATAAAATGTGTAGCTAAAGTGTTTAATACATTTTTAATAATATTAAAAATGATATTGTATCTTTATACTATACTCTTTTTCAGTGATACATTTATAACATACATTTTTTTCTATTTTAATATATACCTTTTTAAGTAAGCATATTAATAGATTTCTATTCCATTCGAAAAGTATAGGTATTTAAAACAATATTATATATTTAATGTAAGAAAACAAGCAATATTAATACATGTGAGTACAATCTATATTCATATTATAAGTTTGATGTGCATATTCATGATTTACATGATCTTGTGGTATGTATAAACCTAAATTATAATTCCAACTTTTCAATTTTCTATAATTTCATAAGAAGTTCATCACTCATGTAATATAATTTACGAGACGAATATTGCAGAATAGAGACGAAATCATATAGATATTAAATTTGTATTCTTTTTCATCATTGTTAAAATTCTATAAATCAAACTGAATTAAAATTATGAATTTTTTATTTAAATGGAAAGTTTACAATCTACAATTTCGTTCCTATAATTTGGCAATATAAAGTTGTATAATACAAAATACAAGAAAAAGAAAAAGAAACATATGGATTATTATAGTTAAAAATCATTTATATATTTTTTCTGACATGTTAATCATATTTTCATCCAATCCATTTGTTTCTTTTATATAAAAATGTAATTAACTTTTGTATAAAAATATATAAGAATTAACTTTTTTATTATATAATTTTTACAAATATACAAGTATAACTAATACATGTTTTTTAATACTAGAAAATCATGCGAGCAAGTATCGTCATTATTTTGGCTTTCGTCAGTGGGATTGTTATAGCCACATCTAGAAATCATAATTATTCTCATTTCGTAAAGCATCACGCAAGACCACGAGTGATCCGTGGTTTTAAACCTGAATACATGTCTACAGCATATGGTTTTGGGAAAAGACAAAGTGTTGTCGAAGTCCCGAAAGTTAATAAACACGAACGAATTTTAGCTACACTTCTACGTTATTTTCCACAGGGGTATATAATATATATATATATATATATATATACTAATATATTGCTGTTTGTTTAAACATTCGGGATTCATATCAAGTCGTTTAATCATGAGTAAATGTTTCGACAATGAATAAAGAAATATCAACAATTTGAGTAATATATAAATATATAGTATAAGCAAACTAAACATGAAGCAATAGTACTTCATTCTTTAGACTCTTAGAGCTTACTCCAAAATGAACTAATTCTAAGAATTTCTTCTTTTAGGAGTTATACGTAGAAGTTTAAGAAATAAGAAGAAAAAGTGAGTAATAAACATACAATGGCAAGTACTGCTCTTTAAACATTTACTATTTCCAATTAATCTTATTTCCATGTTGAGCATATGAATATGAAGCATTAATAATATGCTTAAAGTTAAATTTAAATGTGTATACTAATTTAGATATGTATATACCGATTTTAATGATAAATAATATTATAATAAATTGAATTTTTAATTAAATATTACTATTTTTAAATTAAGTAAATATAACATAATTTTCTAAATATAAGGAAAATATATAACTTATTTCTTATCTCCATACATACAAATACATTATATATATATATATATATATATATATATACACACACACACCCATACACATATTTTATATTAGATATTTTACTACTTTAATCATATTGTGCTATTCCTATACATTGCTTTTATATATTTTACAATTACGAAAGAAATATTATGAAAAATAAGTTATCGAATTGTACAATATAATTAATATTAAACGTTTTCATTTTAGAATTCCCGTGGAATGGTTACTTCAACAAATGAAAACAAATTCAGCTTTTGCAACAAAATTAACACAGATGTTAATAGACGAACGTACTAATTTTATATCAACGATGGATCGCTCTAATCCAGAAAGAATAACTTGGTTATATTAAATCTTTACATTGTATAAACAAATAATGTACACAATTTCTAGCTATACATTTTAGTTTAATAAATCATGTGATATTCAAACATTTATTTTGTTATTAATATATTATTTTTCTAAAATTGTTTAATAATAATTAAGTAATAATTCTTTGGTATAATACACTATTTCTAGATATTGATATATAATATACTTCTTATATTTTAAACAATTCAAAAAATACAATTTATAAACTAAAATGTGATTGATTACATCGTAATAACCAATGATAATGTACCTTAATAAATAACGAATTTTATGATTTAAAATAAATTGAAATTGAAGTTCTATATGACTTATGAAAAGTGTATAATAAGAGTTATGAACATTTCTTAAATGTATTTCATTATATTTTTTTAAATAAGCGGAATTTTATATATTATAAATTTTAAAAATGTTCATTTTAATCACAAATCTTATGTAAATCATTGTTACCAACTATAAGATTACAAAAGTGTAGGAACAAAAGACACATGTATTTTCAGGATATGACTGTCTATATTAAGAATAATCAATGGTTTAGAGCCCAGAAGGGCTTTCGGTTTCTACGCTTTATGGCTTTTTCGTTTGTGCGTTTTCCTGTTTAAACGCTTATAGTAGTAAATAGGTTTGGGACGTACAAACGTCTAATTTTGGAATAGAATTAATCTCAAAAATAATAAAACGGAATTAGAAGCGAAAATTTGAATTTGCAATATCTGAGTGACGCCGGCCACCTTAAGCCTCGGAGTCTTAAAATCTCCAAAGGCCCACAGGCATACGCGCAACAAAGGTAAGAATCCCACAAGACATTTTCAACAATATATATTTTTTATAAATAATATCTGATATTCTGTGACATCTATTGTTTAAAATTCTACAGACTGATTTGCAGTAATATTTAATAATATTACAATGTTAACCTCAAATATTCTCGAAAATATTTAAATAAACTTGAAGTCAATTTAATAACTAACGTGTATTACAACAGGATTCTAACCGCTTTTTAGAATGATTGATAATTTTTATTTTAATGCATATTAATCTTAATTTTCTGCATTATTTTGTACATGGTAGTGTTCATAAAATATTCAAAAATATATGTTTTATATATAATACATATAGTTCTACGTTAATGTGTTGTTTTGAAATTTTATCATTAATCATAAGTAGTTGCCCATGTTTTATGAAGTAGTGAAAATAATTTACAAGTTTCATGAAAGTAATTTTTAATTTATTTCAAAGTTTTGTATTATTACATTTATGTAGGGCTATATTCTAAATACTTCATAACTTACAAATATATTTTCATTATCGATATATATACATATATATATTGTATGTGTGTGTGTGTGTATATATATATATATATGTATATCATGATGTTTATGAATAGTAAGTATCAACTTTAATATCAAAGCTTTTAATGAATTTTTTGTATACAATCCCTATTTTTTTCAATATGGTCCTAAGTTTTGGTTATTTAAAAAAATTTTTTAATAGTTTTAGTTTTACTTAAGTTTAAAAATAAATATATTTGTCTAAGTATGAATTAATTAACATTGTGTGGTTATTTTGTGTAATTATAATTTCTGAAATATGACATTGTTATGAATTAAAGTTTAATTCAGCTTGTAAATATTATTGCTGCAATCTGTACTATATGTAATATATTAGTAATTTACATATATCATTCGATTGATATATATTTGTATATATTAAATATTTTTATTTTATAATAGTCATAGAAAACTATTTCGTAACTAAAAAATTTATATAAGCATATGATTTCATTTCTAATTAATTTCTTGTTTTCCTTTCATTTCTGATATATTTATTACCATTATCAAAAGAATAGATTATATTAATTTCTTTTGTTACTAATAACTATTTGGTTTACATTATCTTTTTAATGTAATTTGTTTATCACATGATAGTAAGTTAACTGATTTTCGTTTTATGTAGTTCCACCTATATATGACGATAAATACAATGCTTTAGTTTCTCTTTTCCTAAAGTTTTCCTCTTCCCTTTGTTCTTTCTTTTTCCATGCCCAAAAGACATTCTTACAGGTTGAAAGTCCGTTCGTTATAGTTTCTAGTGCAGTACAAAACGGTTTGCGGTTTACCGGTATTTCTTAGTTTGTGTTGTGTTCGAGTTGAAAGTTTAAAACGTAAAACAAAAAGTTCGGGGCAAGAAATCCTGAAAATTAACAGTATGTATTGTAAATGTGAAAAAAGTTCAGTTTAAGTATAAAGTACAAAAGTTGTTAGTAAAAAAAGTTATCAACGTGATATAAAGTATGTTCGACATGGTATGGATTGCTCGCGTTGTGCCTTCAAGAGCAAATACTGCACAGGCTCTTATTGATACAGGTAAGCCCTGCGATGCTACTGATGCAGATTTTTCAGTGCTACATTTGGTCGGTTCGGCTAAAAAATTCACTTCTCAAGTAAGGGGAATTAATGATTTGTTTAAGCAGTGGTCCCATTTTTTTTCAAATTATTATTGTACATATTGTAAAAAAATAACTTGTTTACAGGCTAGAATAATTCATCATGTCAGACTCTGGTTCAGAAAGTTCCTCTTTGGAGGGTTATGATGGAAGGAGAGATCGTATTACATCTGCTGACAATGTGGCATCACCAATCTTCTCACATCATTCGTCTGTATCTGGACATAAATCTAGAGCAAGTTCTGCTTCTTCAAGAGAGAAGTCACCCGGATCTGTTATGTCAGAAAGAGATTCAAAATCACCAAGATATACACCAATATCTCCAAAATCTCAAAGGTCTGGATTAGCATCTCCTAGCGAAGTGGGTTCTCCAAGATCAATGCGTAGTTTATCTAAATCACCACCTGTTTCACCAAAATCATATCATTCAGGAAATAATTCTTTGGATTCACCAAGAACTGATCATAGTTTATCGCACTCGCCTATGCAAGATGAAAGGTCATGCCCATCTACTCCACATGATTCCAAATCTTTACACCTTGAAGATACAGAACCTAAACAGTTTGAATTGGAAGTAGATGCACAAAGATCTGGAGATAATTCTCTGAAATCATATTCTTATAAGAATAGTGAATCAAGACAAAGTTCACCAAAATCACCAAGATCTGGACATAGCTCAGCAAAATCATTAATGTCTGGAAGAAGTTCTCCAAAGTCAGGTCCAGCATCTCCTATGGATGATCAAGAATCAGAAAAACATTCACCACCTCATTCCCCACCAATAAAAACTTCATTTAATGAATTGGATGGAGAACAAATTTCAGATGGAGATATTGAAGATGAACCTGAATCAATAACTAAATTGAAACCTACACCAATTACACATGGTGAAGATTTGTCAGATGTTTCTGATTTAGAAAGTATAGATGGAGTTGATGGAACTACTGAACATGAATCGATACTCAAAGAAAACCAGCTAAATGAAGAAAAACGTATTAATAGTGATAAAATAGAAAAAGAAGAAAAAAATACACCTGTTGGATTAACAGAAGAAAGTGAACAATTAGATTTTGAAGCCGATGGTCAATGGAAAGATGAACGTGATGAAGGTAAATAATTCATATACTACTAAAATTTTAAATAAATACTACAATTAAAAATGTTACTTTTAGGTGAAACAGAAGGACCAATTATTAAAGAAAATAAAGATAAAGATGATAAAGATGGAAAAGATAAAGATAAGGATAAAATGAAATCAAAAGAAGGTATTGATGGAAATGATAAGGAAGAAGGAGAGGAAGATGGGGAAAAAGTAGAATCTGAATTAGAAGAAGGAGAACTTAGTGACGGTGATGATGCCAGGCCAGAAGAAACAGAACCAAGACCTGTTTGTCGCTTTTATAATCGAGGTCAATGTACATGGGGAGTTAGTTGCAGATTCTTACACCCAGGTGTAACTGACAAGGGTAATTATACCATGTTTGACATGGTAAGACCAATGGCATATGCTCCACATGCAGCTGCTCCACATGAATTCAGACCTCACATTGATAGACCAAATATGGTGCGACCATTACCTGGGTACGGCGCACCAACACATACACCAAAAATAGAAGATATTCCTACTGAATCTGCATGGGAACGTGGATTACGACATGCTAAGGAAGTAAGTTTATATATTATTTCTACAAGGTAGAACAAGATATCATTACTTTTTGTAATTATAACAATATGAAAAACATTTTATATGCAATTTAAATAGATTTTAAAAATGGATATGCTGTATTGACTATTATATCTTTTTGGAATCTTTTTTTTTTAAGCTCCTATTGTTATGTATATGTATTTTTTGTAATAACATTTATGATGATGATTATTACAGAAATAATAACAACAATAACAATAATAGTAGTATGATTTGAAAATAATGTTAAATTTTATTTTAAGTATATTATAAAATTTATTTTTTATGTTTTGAGCCTTAACTTACTTTTATAACTTCAAATTTGTATAACGAAAAATGACTTATAAATGTAAAAAGCTATTATTATTTAGATGAAAATGATAGTAGGACAATTACTTTCTTCACATGTATATTCTTTCAAGCTATTCAAATTATATATAAAAAGCTGTTTATATCAATATAACTAGAAAAGATATTTTTAAATATGACATTTTATAATTTTATAAAAGTTAACATTTTGTATTACTATGTTATTACAAAAGGCACTTCTACTTATATATATTTTATATAGATGATGCGGAAAGCAAATAAACGCAAAGAATCAGATATGGACTTTGAAGAGAAGAAAATGAATTTAAGTTTAGGACAAGATGAATTAGATAGGGAAGCAGGATATTATGTAAGAGCAGCTAGCCCAGAACCACCTGTTGAAAGGTGGCCACCTAGAGAGGCACCAAGAAGGATACCACCACCAAGACTGTCACCAGAGAGATATATTGATGATCCTGATCCTTATTATGTACCAGCAACAGCACCACCAGAATATTATAGGTATTGTTAATGATATTTATTATTTATCAAAAATATAATGTAAATTAAAAGTATTTATGTATTTTATAATTTTTTTAAATAAATATTTGAATATCTTTTTTTTATTAAGGAGGGTACATTATAAAGCTGATTCTCGAGTTACTACTGAATATAGAGAACGTATCGATTATCATGCAATACCCCGTGGAACGCCTCACTCCGTTTCTCCACCACCACATGCTAGAGAAAGAGAAAGAGAAAGAGAAAGAGAACGTGAACGCGATAGAGAACGAGAATATTATGAAAAATATGAAAAGAAGCATAAGCGTCCATCAAGAGAAGTCATAGTAGAACGTATTCCACCAACTAAACCTTGGCGAGAGGAAGAACCACCACCAGAAGAGAGGAGTAGAGGAGATGAATGGGCAGATCCTTGGATGCGTCGAAAATCTCCGAGTACAGTACGCCGAAATACATCATCTCGACGATCACGAAGACAATCATATTCTTCAGGCTCTTCGTATTCGTCAACAAGGTAACCTTTATTTTTAATTTTATAAATAATATAAGGTTTATAGTCTTTAAATTATTAAACATACATTAAGAAACTCTTTAAAGTGTAATTTTTTTTTTATACTCTTTATATGTAAAAAATGTATGTGTACTGTATGCTGTTTTTAGTTCTAGCCGTAGCTCGAGCCGCTCTAGCTACAGTTCTTACGACTCCCTATCCAGGTCCCGTTCACCATCTCCTCCCTCTAGAACCCGTGGTGCTGGCAAAGGGAAAACAGTGGTAACATCGCCACCTTCTAATCCTCCTACGGTTGCAGCTGCTGCACCTCAACGTGGTGCTATGTTAATGAATCCACCTGCTCCTTCTCCTCGTCCACCTAAAGGCTCCATTTCTCCTACAACTGGTACACTTCATCGACGTGCTGGTCTCAACCCACCTGCACCAAGTCCACTTTCTTCTCATCAACGTCATCATGAGAAAGCAAGAGACAAAGCAGCAATAGCAGCCGCTGCAGTAGCTAAAGTTATTAAAAGTCGATCGAGATCGAGGTAAAAAATTTTAAAAGTATATTTCATTAATTGTAATGAAATTTAGACTTCTAAGATGTTAGATAGATAAAAGCAACAAAATACAGTTGCTTTATATATATGCGCGCTCGCGTGTGTATGATTGTGTGTGTGCGTGTGCGTGTGCGCGTGTGTATATCTGTAATGTGAAAAAATATGTTTTTAGGTCTTCACACAGTAGTTCAGGTTCAGAAAGCAGCGGTAGCAGTAGTGATTCTAGTGAGTCGAGTTATTCCTCTTCTTCCAGTGAAACACGTCGAAGGAAAGGTTCCACTCCACCAGTAACACGAAAAGATTCCAAGGGTATCGATGCTTTAAAACTTAGTGGTACTAAACAGCAAATCAAACTTACATTAAAGCCAACAAGTAATACTGCGGTTATAAAAAAAGTCGATCGGTCTGCTTTAATGGCTGGAAAAAAGAGAGGGTTAGAATCGCCACCATTAATTGATAGTAAAGCAAGCGTCGCTGCAGCTGCAGCCAAAGCAGCCAAAAAGGCAAGTTCACGACGGGAAGAACTGTTAAAACAACTTAAAGCAGTAGAAGATGCAATTGCGCGTAAGAGATCGAAAGTTTAATAATACAGCACAGATTTATCATTTTGAAAACATGTATGTATACAAATGCAGACACAAATATTTCCTAGCATATATAATTAGTTACTATAAAGTAGCATGTGATATGAAAAAAGAAAACAATTCATATCAGAGACAAAAGCATTTCTAATTTCCAATTTTCGAATTTTTTTTCGCTAATATGTAAACATATACAATGTCGAACAAATATAATACTGTATTACTGTAGTTTCTTTCTATTGGAAATTGCAAATTATGTGTTTTCCTACGCCTGTACGCAAATATGTATGTAAAAACTTCGAGCCGTACATTTGTTTTTTAAATTAAATGATCATAGTGATTTCTAGAAGTAGGATAAAACTAAACTGCAAGACAACGTCTCAAAACTGCCAAATGCACGTAAATAAAAAAAGACGTGTAATTTATTTATATATGAATGAAAGATTCTGTTGAAATATACAATACATCTATGATCATATAAATCTAACATTTTTAAATAGATGCAAACGGTGATATTAAACGACAATAAAATGTCGCGCCAGTATAAATATTCTATAATCTAATCTTTTTTCCTCTTGTAACAAATTAGGTTTATTATTGTAACATTAACATTATTAGTTCATTTTCATCATTAATAGAAGTCAATAGAACTACATTAACTATAATATTTTTATCCAAAAGAAAAGGTATATACTATTGAAGAGTGTGCATATTTTATATAGCTATTTTTATGTTACATATACAATTACGAAAAATTAAAATTACAAAAATCTTTTATTCTAAAACATAGTATATATGGTTAAAACGATTTTACTACATACAAATAAATTTGGACGAATGTAAGGATGTAAAAATTTATTTAAAAAATGTATTCTTTCATGCAAGTTACAGTAAAATAATGTAAATTGATTTTCTTTAAAGTAGTGCAAACGTTGCAATAATAATTAAATTTCTGAATTCATAATAAAAAACATAAATTTTTATTACAAAGGTTTTATTAATCAGTAGGACAAACACTTTGTTAACAATAATTTATTAAATACAAATTACAAAACAAGATCACAAAATCTGTCTATAACATTAATCATATATACATTAATTGTACTCTAATTCTTTTAACAGTCCATGAAATAGTAGAAAAATCATTTTGTTCTATATTTTATACACAGATTTACGTAAGTATTACGATACTTATATAGTTGATTTGTATTTATAAAGATAACGTTAAACAAATTCAATAAAAGCATACCAGTAATAAATATGATTCGTCCAAAATTTAACGTCCATATATACACACATTAAAATGCTACGTAAACGACTACGTCGAAATTTAATAGAATATACTTAGATAAATTTGGGTTTTATGACTTCTAAGTACTTGCTTCAATTAAAAGATAAAACTATTATAAAATTATTTTAAATAAATATAAGCATATCAGGATATTACATTTTTATATTTAATGTATATACATATAAAAAGTTGTGTAAAAGTATTAGAAATAACCAATCCCATTTTTATGTTGCTTTTATGTTCTAGAAGTAGATATTTCGGAATCTGATTGCCTATTAATACTATTTGTATCGATATCCTGAGTCGTGCGAATAGGAAGCCCCATAAATCTATTGGTACCATTTAGAGTACTACGTCTCGTTCTAATTGAACTATTGTCATGGGTTTTTACTTCATTATATTTAAATAAACCATCACCAGGCGCGGGTAATGAATTTTTTGAAGATTTGTACCACCATTGATACGTAACATACCATGTTAAAACAGCAGCTACACCTCCAAGAAATTTTTCTATCATAATATGATAATACAGCATTGTAGATATTAACATAGTGTCCCAAAGTAATTGTTGTAGTGTCATTGCAACAAAAAGACCTCTTAGATAAGGTGTAAGTACTTTATGTGCTTTCTTTAAAAATTCCAAATCAGAATTCGAAAGATTACGAAGAGGTCCAGTACTGGGCTCGTTCGGAGTAATACGCGAGTGTTCTTCACGCATAATCAAATCCTTTATACCTTCCCACCCAACTAATGAAGAGCCTTCTTCTGCTAGGATTAAACTTGAATATATAAGAATAAATGTATGTCCGGATATATCAAAACCACTCCAAAATTTACCAGAGTGAAGACACTTTGTTTTTGTCTGTAATTGTATATCCTTTGTATTAAGACATCGACCATAATTCGTTTCAATATAATTAAACAATTTCATCCACATTAACCATGCAATTGTAGCTAAACCCAATCTAGCAAGATGTTTAAGTAAAATCGACCTACGACCACAACCAAGTGTATGCGCAGTCAATGCAACCCAGGGAACAGTTACTGTCAGCAACCATCCCCATCCCCATTTCACAAAGTACTGGTTGAGCGCGTTATCGGGGCGTGAGAAATATGTTCTTGGCATAGTAATAAAATCTGCTATTAATGACACTACAAATATCGCACCGCAATATATAGCAACCTTGAGTCTTGTATCAAACAGTAACGACTTTTTGCAAACATGTAAAAACATCGTTACAAGTATAAGACCTATGGAACTTGGAGCAGCAGTTGGTCGAGTTCCACCTCTGTCTTCTTGAGTTGAATTGGGACGAAAATTTAGACGACTTGATCTTAAATTACTTCCTGATGAGCCAAACATCGCGGAACTACCGGATGTTGTATGCACACCTCTTCGTTTTCCCGTAGCCATCGTGTAATCAGATCAAAGGTTATCATACGTACGTTATTGATTTTTAGAATGTACGTTATATTGCCGCATGATAAATTAATTCCTTTTAAACAATCGAGGTTAGTTTTTAACTATTTATACGTATTTCTTTCACATGCAGCTAAAACTCTTAATAAACTTTATGCATAGAATTCAGTTGTATTATCAATACATATAGATCAACTATTACTCAAAATAGTACTACGTCCACTGTATGCTATAACCACACTGATTCGCTCTGTCATCCAATAGCTGCTCCCCTCTCCTTTACTAACTTAAGAAATTAATTTCAGACTGTTCTTCCACGTTTAACACTTTTAAGAATAAATATTTAAATGTATTTTATTTAACTTTGAATATAATGATTTACAAAATAAATATTAATTTTTAATTGTCCGCAAAAAGTTCAGTATTTTTATTTTGTACAAAAAAATTTGGTATGAATAAAATTATAATTACTTATTTGTACAACAAGGTCTCTAACTATCCTTTTCATTCATTTTCAGTGCAATATACATTGTACAAATTTAGTAAAATTTAATTGTTTCAAAAAAGTATATTGTAATGTAGGAAGTAAACTAGTATCTTAATTGAATATTGGAATACTTTTACAATGCAAATAAAATATTAAATATCATCACAAACAAGAAGATCATAAATAAGGAAACATGAGATGATGTTTTGAAATTATGAATAAATAGCAATATGACTAGAGTAAGATTTTTATTTATTATTCATCTCTTATAATACTATGCTAGCATTTATATGCAATAAGCTTCATTTTGTATAATTAAGAATTTACTCATAATGCTGAATAAATTTAGATAAAATGATCCCATATGCATTATTAAGTAACATTAGAAAAGGAACTTGGCTATCCTTTTTAAAATTTTGTTAAACATATAAAACTTTTAACAAGTTTTCTCTAATAACATGCAATTATTTTTGCAAATTTTATATATTTGTTCGTGTTTCTTGTATACAGTTTTTGCAAGGCACAATTGAGAATTGTTATAAAATATATGGACATTAAGAATAATTGCTTATTATGAAAATTATCATTTAAAAATAATTTTATGATAAATTAGGCGCTTGTGAAAATCGTTGCTACATTACTATCAATTGTTGACTAGTTCTAATAAATTTATGGCCAAATACCATTTATTAATGGTTGCACTAGTTATATTAGCAGACTTAAATATAATCACGAAACAAATGTTTTCGTCTCGTTGTTATAATGTTTATTAATAATTTTATATTGCAGATTTAAATAATAAGTTTGTCTACAAACTAGTAATCACTAAATAAACAAAAAATTATATACTTGCACGTGATAAGCCCATTACAAGTGAATCTAATTTTACAACTTGTACTTTTGATGTTAATACCTTTGGTGCTTCTATATCATATGAAGACCAGTATGTTATTAATTCTGGTAATCCGTCTTTACTAATATAATCAATTTTGAGTGAACTAAAATGAGCACGCAAACTTAAATTTGGTTGACAATCTATATCTTGACATAACTGAATAATATCTGTTTGACTTGCATTTCTAACTTGTACATCTGTATAATTTACAAAAACTATTAATACTCTTTCTATTAGCCTTCTTTCTGTAATAGACACTTTTCCTGTATGTTCAGATGTAGAATTAATCCACTCCCAAAATTTAATGGCAAATCTATAAGTATAACGTTTTCCAGGTATAATCAGGAAAGCTGGTTTTGATACAAAAGAATTTAAACTAACATAATCCCATATTATTACTGTTTGATTCCCATGTTTTTGCAATGTTAGATTTACACTAGCTTTGCAATATTCTCCCGGACATAATCCTTTATTTTCAATGAATAAATAGTGATATGGTGTTGGTCTCCAATTATTTTCTTCATTATTGAATTTTAAAGTCTTAAAGGTATGAAAAGTCACTGTTGGTTTCATTATTAATTTTTTATATTCTGATAATTTCATAGCATGTAACAATCCTGTAATAGTCATGGTTTTAACCATACCTATAAAAAAAATGAAAATTATGCATTACCTTATTTTTTATATATAATATAAGAAAAAATATATTACAAATTTTATTTCATATAATTAATAACATATCCATAAAAATTGACTAAATTATATATATCTCACTAAGTTATACTGATAATGACTTTTTTCTTTTTAATACTTAAGTTTTTACATATTTATACTTACTTTTTCCCTTATTATCATAGCAAATATAGGATATAGTATTATTAAAGACATGATTATTTATATCAATAGATGAACAATTTCTAGGTGAGTATCGTCCTAAAAGATGACCAGTTCCTCCAGATAAAAGAACAAGATTAGGCATATTTTTTGTTCCTATTTCTACGCTTAAAAAATCTTCTACTGCATCTGAATCAATATCTGATAAAATAAGAGGTAGCTTTTCAAATGTATAAATTTTTGAACTCCAATGTATAGTGCCTGCAATAGGTTCAATACTAGCCAAAAGGCCATGATCACCAGCAACAATACAATCTGGTTTTCCAGAACGATCAGTATCAATTGAAATGCAGTCAATTTCAGTAGGCGGTCTCTTCAAAGAAACCAACCATAATGGTAAACCACTATTTCCTTGCATTGACATAACTCCTCCTCCTTCTGCTGATATTTGTCCTTGATCATCATTTGTATCATTTTCTCTATATCGTTGTCCACGAACAAGAAATATGAGATTTGAAGGATTTCCATGAATAATGGAGATAGGGCCATGTAATTCTAAAAATATTTAATTAGAACATTAAATAGTTCAGCATATAACTTACATCAATTAATTATTTAATATTATATGATTTTTATATAATTATAATATTCTATAAAAGTATGTAAAAACTTTTTATTTTGTTAATGAAGGTTATTACTACAGTAAACAATATTCTTAAATTCTTGGAATTGCAGTATTATTTTCCTAAATTTTTATTAACATTATTATTGTTATAAAATTTAATCCTACAATATATAATATTAAAATGATTAAAGTAAGTGTAATAAGAATGTAAAAATATAATGATTATTTATATAAATTTATTTGGAGAAAATTATTCATAATGAAATTATATATCAAATACAAGGAAAAACTAAAAATATTTTTAAAACAATTTATTTGTTACATTTTGTATTAATTTCACAAATATTAATAAATAATTTGAAAAATTTAATACTTCAAATATTTTCTATTATATATTCTATGCTATAATAATTAATGAAACTAAAAATTTTATAAAAATATTTTTTTTATATTGTTTAAGAACAAAATATTAAATATCAATATATTTATTATATATTAATGTTTAAGTAAAATTAACAAAATATCAATATATCACAAATTTGAAACAAATATTATTTTTATTTGAGCAAATATTTTAATGTATTCTTTTCATTTAAATTTAGAATTCTTTTAAAATATTCATTGATCTTTAAGTATAACATGTTAAAAAGCAGTAATGTTGCATATGCTTCTTATAATTTTATTCAATATGGAAAATAAAATTATATTTAAACATATCTTGCATATGCATTTATATTTAACTTATATAAAACACATTTATATATATTTTATTAAACTTACCTACTCCTTGTAAAATTTTGTCCCAAGAACTAGATGATTGGGGTTCATTTATTGAAGGACATACCATTGAATTGTCACAAGGTAAAACATACAGAAATATAATTATTGTTACAACACATAATAATATAGAAGCAACCAAACAAAATCGTCATAAGGGAGACATATCACGTCTTTTCCACAAGTCATTTTGGTCATTGCCCTCGACTACCATTATAGGTATATCATCTCTATAATATTTAAGCATATTTTGTCCATTTTTTGAACGATTTGCTAAATTCCTTGTTTCATCCAATGGATAATATACTCCATTTTCATGAATAGTAGTTGATTGCTAGAATTTATATATGTATCATATATACTTTAGTTTTTATTTTAAACACGTATATTTGAATAAACATGACAATGATGAAACTATAGATTTTTAAATTTATACAGATTCTTACATTTTATACTTTTAGTTTACAATATAATTAAAAAAAGAAAATTGTTTAACTTACCGATTGTATATCACCGACAACATCCTTGGGAATATCATTTGGTTGAGCTAAACAATCTTCTTCGTCTTCAGTATCGGTGTTACTTACATTTTGCGATAAAGGTGTATAACCTTTTCCACCGTAATCGGACATGTTAAATTTGTATAAAGCACCACAAATTCAAATTTATTTAAATACATATGAATGTACGCATAAATAGATGCATATATTTATCTATTTATTTCATCATCGTAATACCATTGAGTACAAAGTATTGATAGAGTATGAACACACACAGAATCGATATATTACATTAAAGTTACAGAGTACCAATAGTTAAACGTAACGACATGTGATAATGTTCTTGTAAAATTGTACAATATTTGTGTATTTTAAACTAATTTTAAGTAATTAGTAATATTATAAATTGAGCTTCATATTATGTTTATTTCAAAATTATTTGATATATTTATAATATGTAATTTTCATAATTTGGTTTACATATATGACTAAAGTATATTTGAATATAAATATTACACAATTCAAATGATAAATAGTATTGCAAGAAATAATAAATGTATAGAATTCAATTTATATTTATAATATTATTTTGATTAATTTGAAGTTCTATTTTATAACAGTAACATTTAAAATTAAATATATTATTGCATATTTGTAACAAAAATTACATATGATGAATTTTACTGTAAACATCTTATGAAAAAATGATTATAATCATTACAATACAATTTATGCCTAAATAACAATGGTTAGAATAAAATAAAAGATTGTATTTTTATTTTTATACCTTTTTATTAAATAAATATCTATTTTAATTTACATAAATACTATTATACATAATATAATTTTTCTAATATATATTAAAGCAAATATATTAGTTCTCAATAGAACAATGTAAATGTTAGATTTTATAAAATAAAAGATTAAAGCTTTATATAAAGAATAACATTTCCAAGAAGTTTATTTTCTTGTACCACTACATAAATAATATTATATATTTAAATTTGTCACTTTTAAGATTTTATGGTTACAATAACATATTTGTTATTTTATAAAATTTTCCATCCATACATATTTATCTTATTATGCTTTCCATTAAACAAATATACTTACATTTATGTATCTATCTACTACTGTTTGCTTTTATTTTTTATATACATTTAAGTTATTTTAACATTTCATTTCCAACATCGAAATAATGTATAAGCATCTGATGATAAAAGAAAATACAAATATTTAAGTTAATTATATTGTATAATTTGTTTATAAGACGTATGTAAACTAATTGTGTAAAATATATACAAGCTTTCAACTGGAAATGTAATATAATCACATATCAATGTTACTAACTGTGCCATATTGATATTTTTTATATAATCACACAAGTGTAAAGTTCACTTACTTGTATGAATAATTGGCATAATTTTAAATATAACATAAAATAATTTAAAACATTTTGTAATACTCAATATATTAATTGAAATAAATTGTTCTGAGTTTTAAAATTGTAAAATAAGATTTTTATTTATATATTAATCCTATCTATATGAAATTAGTATTAAAAAATAACAATAAAAATATTATAGTATAAACATACTTGTTATGAGATACAGTTACATTTCCACTTAATTTTCGTTTATGACAATATTAAAGAAAACTTTTACTGTCAGCTGCAACAAAACTTTTTAAAATTTTGTATACAATTGAAATAAACTAATATTCAGTGCCATGATATTCAATAATTATTGTGCATAAAAATATTAAAAATAATTTGATAATAGATCACTAATAATATATTTACCAAGTTAAAGAAATATTTTATATGATAATTAATGTTGTATTAGAATTACTGATTTTTCTAAAGAGATTCATTATGTCTATTACTACAACTATTAAATGCACAATAAAGGTTTAATAATATACTGAGATCTGATTGGTTTTATTATGTATATCTAGTCTTGGATGAATGTTTACATAAAATTTATTCTTATCAATAAATTCATTATCTTAGAATTTATTGAAGAAAAATACTAAAAAAATATTTGATAAACATTTCAAATATTTATAAGAAATTGGAAGTTGATTTTCTATAACACATAGTATGCTTGATATTCTTTGGTTTAATTACTATAAAAGAAACATGTAGTCAAATTTCTATTATCATCACAGTTTAATAAAAATTTTTGGTAGAAAATGGACTGTTTGATGCGGAATGCAAAAGAATTGAAAATATTGCATGTTTCTTAATTTCTAATTATAAAATAAATCTTATCATCATAATTTAGTTTAATATGCTTCGTGATTGATATTGTTAATGCTATTTGTATAACATATATATTGTAATTAATATTGTTAATGTTGCTTGTATAAACGTACATTATCCAAATAAATGTTAGAAATAATATTTCTAATACTTGTTGCTATTTCAAAGTCATTCCATTGATTATTAACAATTATCATTAATACTAGTATATCAATAGATGTTTAGTAAACCTCTATTTTCTAACGAATCCTTTAATGTTTGAAACAATTGTAACTGCTGCTCTGGTTTTAAGCTATAAACCTGTACATAAAATAATTTCATATATAATATACAATGTACAAGAAAAAAATTTATGAACATGTTTTTAAAAATAATGTGTGTATATATATATATTCAATATATACATTATTAAACTCACCAATAACAAATTTTTCTATTATATATTAAATTCTATAAATTTAACTTTTAATGAAAACTTTTTGAAAATATAAAATATTAATTAAATTGTTATGTTACAATTTTGATTTATAACGTTAATTTTTACATTAATCAACAATTAATTTAAATATTCAGAATTATTAAATAAAATGATAAAAATGGTGACAATAATACAAAATTTACCTGTTGTAAAAGCTTTTGAGGTGAAGCAGTTTGAATAAATGAAGATATATAGACATTCACAAATGTTGCCATTAAATACTGACAGTCAAATCTATCCATTATCCCTCCATGACCAGGAATAATATCTCCAAAGTCCTATAATAATTGTATAAAATATTGTACATTATGTAATTTATTATTACAAAACATAACTTAATGAATTACCTTAATTTTGAATGCTCTTTTAAAACCACTAGCAAAAAATCCTCCAAATGGTCCGATTACAGAACTAAATACTGACATTGATAATGAATGAAGTAAAAATGGGTATAGAGTTATTGTAGATTTTCCACTGAACTATAAATAACGATTATTGTTAGTGTATACCCTTATCATATGTAAAAATTGTCACTTGCTCTTATAAATGTATTACCATTTTCCATATAACTTGTAAACTATTAGGCAATGTATATTCCTGAGGTTGGAATAGAGTAGATGGTTCACAATCCATAGTCATTCGACCTAAAGCTTCACTATATTCAATGGGACAAATAAAGTAACGATACTGACACATGATGTATGATATCTGAAATGTATTTTATAAAGATTTTCATAGTTAAAAGATTTAGTAGAACATAGTACTTAATTTAAAAATTTAAATATAAATTTACCATTAAGCTAAGCATAACTGTTGAAATACCACCACCTATAAAACCTTCCCAAGTTTTTTTTGGTGATAATTTAATCAAAGGTGTTTTACCAAAGAAGAAACCAAACATGTATGCCATTACATCATTTATCACTATCATACTAACTGGAACAATGAACCTATACAGAATAAATATATATCACTATAAGACAGTTAATAAAATACAGTAATAATATTAACCCTTTGCACTATAATGACGAATCTAGCCCATTGTGGGTTCTTCATACAAAAGAAAAAATCATATAATAACACTCATCATATGATTAAAATTATACTTAACATTTTTTAAAATACACAAGATTTGTATAAATTCTAGAAGCTTTTATAATTTTATTGTGGATGAAGTAAATATATAGGGGCCAATTAAGATTAAATACTTTCTCAATCCATAATTCTAATTAAATCATAGTGCAAAAGGTTAATTTATACAAATAATTGATTTACCATATCAAGCCTTCAAAAATATTTTTAATTATAAGATAACTTTGTGTCACAACAATAAGTAGAGCAACATGAGTCCAAGCAAATAGAGAAAATTGTTTCATATAATACTTTTTTACAAGAGATAGTACAAACCATACAAAACCAACAATATACAGACAGAATGAAATAAAACGATGGTATGTAACAAGTACACGTAAATATTCCTGTAAATAAAAAAAAATACTATAAATTTTTACTTTAAATGTATCAATACAAAACATTGTAAATATATAAATTTATAAATTATATAAATATATATACAAATTTATTGTGTATTCAAAAAAAAACATTATTTTATTATAAATTTATTAGTTTATATAATTAATTTAAAATTTAAACTTATATAAGAAACCTTATAAAACTTTATACTTTAAACTTTAAACCTTATAAGAACTGGAAACCATATAAAGTATATAAAGATAATGCTTCAGAAAGCTTTATTTATTGATTTTATGTCAATGCTAGATATGTTCACAAAAATTTTAATTAAGTTTAATCATGCACCAATAAACATTTTAAATATATTAAATTAAATTAAATTTTATTTTTCTATACTTACTGTTCGATTAATTACTACAGCAAAATAGTCCATTAAATTTTCTCCATAAAAGAAGTAATTAGAAGTAATTAAGAAATACCATGATAGAGATCTGAACCATGGTAAACCATGAATTCTATAAACTGCATATCCAATATTAATTATTTCTTGGAAACATTTTACTTGTACAATTAATGTCTGAAAAATAATATAAAAAATATATTTCATAAAATAAATAAAGAAAAATAAATTTTATAAATGAACATACATTTATAAAACTAATAAATGAAACTTACTGTAGCCATTAGTGCTAATGGTCCAATATAAATAATTCCACAAAATCCAGCAATCATAAACAAGGTAAAAATACTTCTAATTACCCAATTTTTCCAGCTACAAAAAGAATGTTAGTTTTAATAATTAGACATTTCTATTAATATGTTTTATTGATATTTTGAACTTGTATATTTAATATACTTTCTATTTATTAATATATATTTAATATAGCATACAATATATATTTTAGTCAAACTATTGTTTCAAAAAACTTTACCGATCAGGTAAGCCAGAAAGTGCAGAATCTAAAATATACGGAGTATGATCTGTTCCTTGGGGTACAGATTTAGCCAATTCTTCAACTTCCAACTTAGCATCATCTTCAGATTCCACATCTTCTTTCTATGCGATATATAATCCAAATTATTTATTAATATTTTTGCAGAAAATAATGCTTATATAATAATATAAACAAATTTATATTATTTACTCTAATTTAATTAAAGTTAAGGATATATATTATAATATTTCATTTAAAAATATCTTCGTATCAATCTTTTAAGATAGATATTCTACCATATTTTAATAAT